GAGGGAGCGGCCGCGTCCCTGCCCGCCCCGCCCGCCGCGCCTCCTCCCCGGCGGGTGCGCGGCGGGCTGACCTCTGCGGAGGCGGCGGGGGCCCAGCATCGGGCCGGGGCCGGGGGGGCGCCGGGGCCGGGGGGCGGCGCTCCGGCCCGGCCCGGCCCCGCCCGATGTCCATGAGCGCGAACACCATGATCTTCATGATTCTGGGGGCGTCGATCGTGATGGTGAGCGGAGGGGCTTCCCGTGCGCCCGCGCCCGCCTTCCGCGCCCGCGCGCCGCCTCCCCCACCTCCCGCGCCTTGTTTACCGGCCCGCGCGGCCTGCGCTCCCCATCCCCGGGCTGCCCCGCGCTCCCCATCCCCGGCCTGCGCTTCCCATCCCGGGCTGCCTCGCGCTCCCCGTCCCCGGCCTGCGCTCCCCGTCTCCCGGGGCTCCCCATCTCTGGCCTGCGCTTCCCAACCCGACTGCCCCGAGCTCCCCGATTCTGGAGCTACCGCGGGCACCCCTGTCCCAGGCCAGCGCTCCCCCACCCCCAGCGCGCCGCCCCCCACACCCCACCCCACACCCCGGGCCCCCGGCCATGCCCGCTCCTCGGCGCTGACCGGTCATGGGCTCTTCCAGGCCATCGCGTGCTTGATGGACATGAACGCACTGCTGGACCGATTCCACAACTACATCCTCCCGCACCTGCGGGGCGAGGACCGCGTCTGCCACTGCAACTGTGGCCGGTGAGTCCGCGCCCGGTGGGGCACACGCGTGATCACACATGTGCACGGCCGCGGGGCCCACTGGGGCACGGGCAAGCCCCAGGCAGGCCTGGCTGCAGGACTGCGCTAGGCCCGTGGGGGAAGGACTGCCCAGCCTCCGCTGGGCACCTGGGGATTGGCCAGTCGCGTTCCAGGAGGGGGAGCATGCCTGATTAGTTAGGACCCCCTCCCAAAATGCCTTTAGAGAAATGGCCTGTGCCAGGGTGATGGGCAGAATGGGCCCCAGGCCTCCTGGTCCTGGGCCTGGAGGCCAGGAGAGCCACAGCCCAGCCCTGTGGGTCAGGAGGGATCCTGCGCACGGCTGTGCCCACAGAGTACACCGTCCTGCCTGGGCCTTGCACTCATGTTCACGAACTTTCCTGCAGGCCAGGTACAGGGAGGTGCAGAAGGTCAAGGTGGCAGGGCCTACCTTGAGGGGCCTCGGGTCCAACCCTCTCACTGCACAGAGGAGGAACTGAGGCAAAGCTGGGTGTGGCTTGTTCAAGGTCATTCAGAGAGCCATGGGAGGGCCCAGGCCCCTACACCCACCGCGTGAACGCCCCCATTCCGTGCACGTGTCCTAACGGAGTCTTCCTGGCCATGCATGTTTGTACGTCCATGTACAAAATAAACATCTTCTCACGAGACGCGCATGTGTGTACTGTCTGTGCATATACATGTGCGTACACATAGCACACACACATCCGCACGCACACCGGCCCCACGGGAAGCCCTCAGGCTGGGACCCAAGAGAAAACAGAAGGATGCTGGGGTGGATAGAGACTTGGCCAAGGTCACACAGCCAGTGAGGGACTGGGGGCCCCAGCCCAGAAGCTGTGCTCCTCACCCCTGTCCTGTATTTCTGCCCCAGGGACACGTGCGCACACACGGCGGGTGGGGGTGTGTGTGTAAGAGAGACAGGACGGCTTCACGCCTGTGGGTGCCGAGCAGCATGTGGGAGCAGAACCCAGACCCCGGGGAAGGTAGAGAGGGGAGTGTCATGACCCTCGCACGTGCTGTCCCAAGAACCATCGAAAGAGCTTGCTGGGGGCGGTGGAGGCGGCCCCTCTTTCCCAGAGATCCCTGTGTTCGTTCCTGCCGCACACGGCCCCCAGCCAAGGAAAGGCACGAGGTCAGTCCCATGGTCTCCTGGGGCAGCCGTTACTATAAGCAGGTTAAACCGGGGTGGTCTGGAGGCCCTCCCAGAGGCCGGCAGTGTGCGCACACGAGGCCTAGGCTCTAAGTCCCGTGACCATGAGGAAGGCACATTTTACATGTGTGTGGGCTGTGGTGTCCTGACCCGCATATATGTGCCTGTGACTTCCCAGCAGGACCCCTCAGGGCAGCCAGGGGTGTTTTCAGAGTGTCACCTGGAGTCCCATGTGGACTCGAGTGGGACGAGCGCGCACAGAAAGCCGCCGAAGCGAGCCATGTGCGCGCAGGCTAGCGCGTCCGTGGCCGCAGAAAACCCGAGAATGGCCCCCGCTGCTGGTGTAGAGTTCTGGGCGTGTGTCCCCATCGCTTCCTATGGGATATGTGGATTCCGTGTGCAGCTCTTACACAGCGACCACATACATGTGTACGCACAGCACATGCATGGCACACAGCATCCAGCGGCGGGCGTGCGAGTGTGTCTGCAGAGAACCGTGTTGCACATGAATATCCCCGTGTGAACCGTGCACACGAGTCGCCGCAACGGGCTCGATCCGTGTGCGCATACACCGTGAGGCATGAGCCTGCCCATGTGTATGCCTCCGCCATGCCCACGTGGAGAGTTTCATACAACCGACATGTATGTAAATGCTCCTAGTGTACGTGCCGGCAGGCAATGTCTGTGTCACCCGGGGATGGCTGTGCGCCGGGCTGAGTGCATGTGCGCCCGCATGTGACCCGCGCTGGGCCTGTGCCTGGGCTAGCATGCACACACGTGGAGCTCGTGGCCCCGAGTCCGTGGTATACACGCATGCATGTGGCCGGCGTGTATATGCGACATGCCTCGGACCTCACAGGCGCGTGCAGCATGCATGGCCCAGGTGACACACGTGTGTGTGCCTCATGAGAGTCCGTGCGCTCATGTGAGACCTGAGCCGATGCCCCCAGGGGCCCCACTTGGAGGGGGAGGAGCGTACAGGGCAGAGAGGAGCTGCAGGTGGCAGGCCAGGGACAGGGTTGCAGGCGGTGACCTGTGATGGCTGGAGGTCCTGAGCCACCAGGGCCACTTGGGGTCCTGGCCTCGCCCTGCTCGTGGGGCACCAGGCAAGTCTCTGACTCCTTTGGCAGTTTGATCTTCAAGTTCCCTGCCTCGACCAGCTGTGTGTCCTGAGGAAGGCCCTGGCGGGGGTCCTGGGCTCAAAAGGCTGGGTAAAGCAGGAGGGGACAGTGACGCCCTGTTTTAGCAGCCCCTGCACGGCCTGCCTGGCCTGGTGCACCCCAGATGAGCGGGACCCCGAACGGGTCATGAGTGGCGTCTGCTCCTGAGGAATCGGAAGCCGCTGCTCATTCTGGTGCCGACTGATAGTTTTCCACCACTTAGGGGGACTGACAGTAGCTGCGGACAAAGGGATCTGGCTGTCTTCGCTACTGACTCGGGGTTGGTGGCCTCCACGCCACGGGGCTGTGGCCAAGGCCCCACCACTGAGCAGGATGGCCTCCAGGAGTTCCCAGAAGGAGCAGGAGGGGTGTGAGGAGAGGCCCGCCTGCCGCCATCCCTGCTGGGCTCCTACGGGGAGGAAGACGCGGTGTGGACTCCATGGGTAGAGAAGGAACAGCCAGGGATCAGGGAGGAGTAGTGGGGTTTCCGGATTTTTGAGACGGTCCCTGTGGGGGAGTCTGGACCAAGGCCAGTTGCGAGGCTGGGGGGAGGGGAATAGGGACCCAGCTCTCCGCGGAACACCAGGCGGAGGTGCCACCATCTAACTGAGGGGAAGATGGGGAGAAGCAGGTTTGGGGAGGGAGGAGCTATTTTTAGGTATGAGTTTGAGGTGTCTGTAGATCCCACGTGGAGACGCCGCACAGGCAGCCAGAGCTCCGAGCAGACGGGGTGGGGGGGCTGTGCTAGGGAACGGAAAAGACCAGCAGAGGGGCCGGGGGAGGAGGGGGAGCCGTGAGAGGTGGCCCCTGGGCAGGGGGGCTCCAGAGCGGTCCCTGCACTGCCAGGCCAGAAGGGGCTGCAGCCAGCGACGAGGACAGGGGCAAAGGGTGGACCCCGCAGGTCCCTCTCCTGGGCGCTCCGGTAGGCGGAAGCCCAGGTCGGGGGTGGGGACAGATGCAGAGTCTGCTGTGATCTCCTGAGCCGGCCTCCCCACCCAGGATCTCCAGGCCCAGGAGGGGATTCAGACAGGCCTGCGACTGGAAGGAAGGAAGCACGTGGGGAGAGTTCAGAGTTGCTCAGAGGCAAGGCTGGACAGCGGAGGGGAGGGAGGCTGAGAAACACTGCACAGGGAACACATGGGAGTCCAGGGAACCCCAGACAGCTGGAGCGTCCCCGGAGCGGCAGGCAGGCCACGGACATGCAGCTCTGTGGGGACATGGGCAGGAGAGGGGGTGAGAGATGGACACTGGGCAGAGCGCCCTGGACCTCCACCCCAGAGAACTAAGGAACGGGGGTGCCTGCAAGGGATGAAGGAAGAGAAGGAAGACCAGAGGCCCAGGACAGGGCTGACCCACTTGGCACTGGGCAGCAGGGAGGACGACGAGATGGCCTGTGGGAGGGGAGGCCGAGGCCCTGCCCCTGGCTGGGGACAGCCTGCCCTGGGCCTTCGCCCTGGAACGCTTGTTCACCTGCACTGTGTTCCCGTGACCCCGCACCGCGGCCTCCCAGCCCCCCCCCCGCCCCCGGGACGGAGGAGGGAGGAGGGTGACGAGTGGGCGGGCTTCACTCCGACCGCGGACCACAGCCCCTTCCCGACCTCAGCTCCGCACAAGGGCCGCTTCAAGACCAGCAGGGCGAACGGGTACCGCGTACCGCCGGGGGCGCCGCCCGCCCCGCGGGAGAGGTGCCAGCCCGCCCTGCCGCCCCCAGGCACCACATCCACTACGTGATCCCTTACGACGGGGACCAGTCGGTGGTGGACGCCTCCGAGAACTACTTCGTGACCGACAACGTCACCAAGCAGGAGATCGACCTCATGCTGGGGCTGCTGCTCGGCTTCTGCATCAGCTGGTTCCTGGTGTGGATGGACGGCGTCCTGCACTGTGCCGTGCGCGCCTGGAGGGCCGGCCGGCGCTACGGTGAGCGAGGGCGGCGGCGGGGGCGCATCCCCGGAGCCCCGGCCCCGCCCCTCCCCTCCCCGCGGCGCCCCGCCCGCACCAGAGCACGCCTCCCTCCCTCCCCGGCCACGCCCCCACCGGGCTCACGCCCCCGCCCGGCCACGCCCCCACGAACGCCCCGCCTTCGGCTCTCGCCACGCCCCCTCCCAGGCCGCTTCTCCGCTCGACCACGCCCCCAACGCCGCCGCGCCCGCGGCCCTGACCCCCGCGCCCCGCCCCCGTGCGCGCCTCCGCCCCGCCCCCGCGCTGACCGCACCCCCGCCCCGCAGACGGCTCGTGGACCTGGCTGCCCAAGCTGTGCAGCCTGCGGGAGCTGGGCCGGCGGCCGCACAGACCCTTCGAGGAGGCGGCCGGCAACATGGTGCACGTGAAGCAGAAACTCTACCACAACGGCCACCCGAGCCCGCGGCACCTCTGAGCCGCACGCAGGACTCGCGGGGCTTCGGCCAACGCGCCCACGCACAAGGGACTGGACGGCCGCCCCGGGCCAGGGCGCCCGCGGCCGCCGGGCGTGTCCAGCGGAAGGTGCTGTCTCCTCTTCTTTTTATAAAGGGGGTCGGGGCGGGGCAGGCCGGCGGCCTGCGGGGGGAAGACCCCGGCCTCCGGGGCCGGACAGGGCGCGGGGACCGGGGCGGGCGGGAGGCGCGGGCACCTGTGCGGGCGGCCGGGACCACCTGCTCGCCCCGCACACTGCGGTCTCCCCCGCACCCGCGCGGGGACCATGTCTGTTACTTAAGCCCGGCCGCTTCTGGTGCGGGGGAAGCAAGCCCGGGAAAGGGGCTCCGCAGGGAATGGGGCCGGCCCCTGGCCGCGCCCACGTCTGCACACGGGAGCACGTGCATGGGGCGTGTGCGTCCGCGGGCCGCAATGGGGGTGGGGGGCGGGGAGCGGGGGTCCGGTGGAGGCCCTGGCCTATAGCAGCAATAAGGCCCCTGAGCCCCACTGCGGCAAGTGCGGCCACCCTGCCCAGGGCATTCCCGGTCGGGCGCCTCACTGTGACCCCCACCCCTGCTGGTCAGTAAATTCTCCAGAAAGCTCTAGTCTCGGCCTCTTTCATCGCTGAACCTGTGACCCCTTCAAGCGTCTGCCCCTTGAATCAGCCATGAGATACACACGTTATGAGGTATCCTGTCGGAGTTTTTATTGGATTCTGGATAAAAAGCCCCCAACTCCAATGGATGGAGGGCCACAGATCATGTGGGCTAGGGCAGCGCCCCCAGCACTGGACATCCCTGGCCAGTGGGTTCTGGGGCCTTCCAGGCACCACCACCAGTCGCCGGCAGCTAGTTCTTACCCTCTAGGTGTGTCCCAGTCACACTCCTGAGTCCCTCTCCTAAGATCCCAGGGACAGCAGGTGGGGGGGGGAAGCAGCCCCCAGCCAGCAGCTCAGGGGTCTGCTCTGCTCACCCCTCCCCTGCTGGGTGAGACTGCGCAAGGTCAGGCCCCTACCACTGCCCCGCCCTCCCTCAGCCAAGCCCCCTCGGGGGACAGGTGCAGCAGCTACAAGAGCTCAGCCAGCATCTGCAGACCAGCGGTGGCAGCATGACCTGTCCCTCCCTGGGCTCAGGGACAGTGCCTTCTCCCCAGTCCGGCCCACCCAGCAAGCACCACCGGGTGGAGGAAACGGACTGGGGTACAAAGGAGCCAAGCCTACCACAAAGGTGCTGAACTTGGTCCCAAGCAGAGGCCTTTAAGGCTGTCCGGCGCCAACTGGGGGAACACGTAAAGACGCTAAGGCGGGCGGCTGTGCCGGCCCATCACTGGGAGAAGGGAGCCTCTTCACAGCAAAGCTCCCCGCAGGCCCAGGGCACAGAAAGCAGAAGCGCCACAGGCCAGCGGGGGGGGGGGGGGGGGGGGGGGCAGGTCCATTCCGACACGGAGGGGAGGGCTTCTTCCTGGCAAAGCCACCCGACCAGTGCGGCTGCCGGGGCGTCCAGGCCCGGCTCACTGAGCCTGTGTGCTTGGGAGCGGGGGCTGGTCATCCTTAGGCCTGACTCCCTCCACTTTCAGCCACTGCATCTTCTGCTGGTGCTGCTGGATGGCGTCCTGGACCCGCACATCCATCATGGCCTCTGTGAGGACCCCGTCCTCCGAGGCATACGCCATGGCCTGGCAGGGAAAGACAGCACTGATGCGGGGCACATGGAGGGGCTACCCACAGGGGAAAAGGGTCCCCCAGCCCAGACTTTCAGCCCCTGGGTGCCACCAGCGACCGGGAACCACCCGCCCTGCAGGACAGGGCCAGACCCAGGGATGAGGCAGCCTGGCTGGCCCACCTGTGAGCTTGCCTCTTGGGAGATGCCCTCAGAAGCTGAAGGCCTCCTGGGGGGTGGCGGTCAAGACTGGGACGCTGAGTCCGCTAAGAGGAGTGCTGGCCCGTACCCTCTACCACAGGCGCGTGCCAGTCTCGGGAGGGGCGTGGCCCCCCAGCAGGACACACACATTCAGCACGCCAGCGGCACATGCTTGGCTCCCCGTGTGTGCAGGAGCGAGCTTGTGAGGGAACCCGCAGCCATGGCAGCCACCATCCCTGCAATGCCCTGGCCCTGCCCACGTCCCCGGTTGGCACGAGTGCTATGTTCTCGCATCACTGAGTTTCTCAATGACTTTCTAAAAATATCAGGTCTGAGGCCAGCTGTCAAGAAGCAGCTCATGCCCCCAGCACAGACCTGGAAGACCCTCATAGAGAGCAGAGCTACCCTCCGGGCCAGGACACACATGACAGAACCACCACACACCATTTGGGGAGGCAGGTCTGACACTGAGGGGAGGACAGGACCCCTAGGAAGAGAGCTCCCCAGGAGGCCCCAGCAATTCTAGCTCGGTCACAGAGTATCCCACCAGGCCCAACTGCCCTGAACGCTGAGCACCCGAAGCAGCTGGAAGCTTCCCTGGTGGGAAGGTACAGGGAGGAGCCCTTTCCAGAATCCCGGAGCAACTGAGCCAACATGTCTGCCCAAGGGGGCCAGGACCCCCACTGAGAGATGGCTGGACCGAGCGATGGGCTTCCAGCTAAATGAGGAAAAGGGGAAACCAGTCACTTTACCATGGACAAACCCGGCGGGCATCACCTTAACCAGGTCAACATCCCTGTGATGTTGCACGGACGTCACATGTCCCCTGTCTGGATGTGACCCGAAGGGCACCTCATCTCTGGGGTCTTCTCCCCAAACCCACAATCTCTGTCTAACTGTGAGAAAAACTTCAGTAGGACAGTCTCTGTAACACCTGACCAGCACTCGTCAAAACCACCAGGATCATCAGAAACAAAAGACATCTGGGAACTGTCACAGCCCCAAGGACCCCAAGTAGAGATGGCAGCTGAAGAAGGGGGACTCTGGAGGGGGCCCTGGAAAAGATCAAGTCCAAGGTGGAGGCCACCGTGACAAGGCAAATGTGCCTCACGAGAGGAGTCACAGCACCGTGCGGAGGCTCCTCACCATCCTCACGACCGTCTTCCGAGCCTGAAGTTACAGGAAATGTCACTTAAAGAAAAAAGGCAAGCCCTGGACTCAAGGGCTTCGCCGGTGAATCCTGCCTGACACTTAAAACACTGGTCCTTCTCAAGTGCCAAAAAACTGGAGAGGAAGGAATACGAATTCGATTCTGAAGCCAGCATAACCTTGACAGTAAAAGCAGACAGAAACCCCACAATGAAACCACAGACCAATACCCTCCTGATGTTAATGCAAAATTCTTCAATAAAATACTTGCAAACCACATTCAGTACCATGTTGAGGGAATTATACCCCGTGGCCAGGTGGGATTTACTCCTGGGAAGCACTCATGATGCCCACAGAAAAAACTAACCACCCTGATGCACCACGTTAATAGAACGAAGGACCAAAAACACGCGACCACCTCAACAGCTGCAGAAAACGCAGCTGGCAAAACTCTGCACCCTTTCCTGGTAAAAACACTCAGTAAGCTAGGAATGGAGGGAAATTTCCTTAATGTTCTAAAGGTCATTTGTGAACAACCCACGCAAATATATTACCCAGGGTGAAAGACTGACAGCTTTCCTCTAAGGTCAGGAACAAGTCACAGACAGCCACTCTCACCACTTCATGTGACACAGAAGTAGAAGTCCTGCCCAGAGCAATTAGGCAAGAAAAAGAAATAAAAGGGACCCAAATGGGAAGGAAAGAATAAAATTATCTGTTTGAAGATAATACATGCTTATATGTAGTAAACCCTAAAGATTCCCGCAAAAGTTAAAACAAATAAACTCGGGGCGCCTGGGTTGCTCAGTGGATTAAGTGTCTGACTCTTGATCTCAGCTCAGGTCTTGATCTCAGGGTTGTGAGTAAAAAATAAAACTAATAAGCGAATTCAGCAAATTTGCAGGATACAAAATTAACACACAAAAACCATTTGTGTTTTGTGTCACCTGGGGGGGCTCAGTCAGTTAAGCATCTGCCTTTGGCTCAAGTTGTGATCCCAGGGTGTTGGGATCGAGTCCCACATTGGGCTCCCTGCTCAGCGGGGACTCTGCTTCTCCCTCTCCCTCTGCCCACCCCCGCCACTCATGTACTTGCTCTTGCTCCTGCTCATTCTCTCAAACAAATGAAATCTTAAAAAACAAAACAAACAAACAAACAAAAACCAAAAAAGAATCACACCTAAATGTAAGACCTCAAATTACAAAGCTACTAAAAGAAAACAGGAGAAGGATTTAGTGGTAACTTCTTGGCTCTGGCACTGAAAGTCTAGGTGACAAACAAAACTGACAAATTGGACTATGTCAAAATTAAAACCTTTGTGGGGGCGCCTGGGTGGCTCAGTGGGTGAAACCTCTGCCTTCAGCTCAGGTCATGATCTCAGGGTCCTGGGATCGAGCCCCGCATCAGGCTCTCTGTTCAGTGGGGAGCCTGCTTCCCTCTCTCTTCCTGTCTCTATCTCTACTTGTGATTTCTCTCTCTCTCTGTCAAATAAATAAAATATTAAAAAAAAATTAAAACCTTTTGTGCATCAAAATCCTTAAAAGAACAAAGTGGGGGGGCCGCTCAGCTGGCTGCCAGTGGAGCGCGCAACTCCTGACCTCTGGCTGGTGAGTTTGAGCCCCATGTTGAGTGTAGGCAGTACTCAAAAATAAAATCTTAAACCCTCTGTGCATCAAAGGACATTATCAACCAAATAAAGAGTAAAAAAGCAACTCATTGAAGGGCAGGAAATATCTGTAAATCACATAATAAATGGTTAGTATCCACAATACATAAAGAACTCAACAAAAAACAACCTGATTCAAAAATGGGCAAAGGACATGAACAGACATCTCTCCAGGAAAACATACATGGCCAGGAAGCACACAAGATGCCCACATCACAACCATCAGGGAAATGCAATCCAAGTGACCATAAGCGGTCACCTTACATCCGCTAGGACAGCAACGGCTACTATCCAAACAACAGAAAAGAACGAGTGTTGATGAGCGGGCCAGAAACCAGCTGTGCGCACGTCTGGTGGGAACGTACAGTGTGCAACCGCTGTAGGAAACAGCATAGCAGCTCCTCAACATGAAAGATAGTATTTTGCTTTAAAGATTTTATTTATTTATTTGACAAAGAAAGATCACAAGCAGGCAGAGATGCAGGCAGAGAGGGAGAAGCAGGCTCCCCGCCGAGCAGAGAGTCCAATGCGGGGCTCAATCCCAGGACCCTGAGATCATGACCTGAGCCGAAGGCAGAGGCTTCACCAATGAGCCCCTGGGCGCCCCGGAAGATGGTATTATCACATGATCCAGTAATCTCCCTTCTGGGTGCGTACTCAAAGGAATGAAGAATGGGGTTTCAGAGATACCAGGACACCCAAAGTTAACAGGGGCATTATTCACAACAGCCGCCCAAATGTCCTTGTCAGTGGATAAATAGATTCGCAAAATGAAATATAACCACAAGGAATTACGATTCTGTCTTTAAAAGGAAAGAAATGCTGGCACGTGGTACCACACGGATGGACCTTAAGGACATGATGTTGACTGAAGTCAGCCACAAAAGGACAAATGCCGCTGGTTCAGCTCACACGCACCGTCTAGGGGAGTCTCCTTCACAGAAAGTGGAAGGGCAGGTGCCGGGAAATGGGGAGGGGGCAGGAGGGTTAGCGTTTCACAGGACGGCACTGCAGCCTGGGAAGATGGACATGTCCTGGGGACAGATGGCTGTGACGGCCACACAACAATGTGAATGTACTTAATGCCACTAAGCTGTGGGCCTAAAAATGGTTAAAATGGTAAACTTTGCTTGAAGAGTAATAGCAATGACACAGTGAATTGCCACAACAGAGAGCTAAGAGACCAACCTCCGTCGTGAAGCCGCCACGCAGGCCGTATGGGCTTCAGGGAACAAGTGCCTGGGCCCACCCTGCAGTCCAGCCCAGGAGGGGCAGGGAGGCCAGCGCAAGCCCAACCACCTCTGGGCACCTGACAGTACAAAGAGAGGGAGACCACATTCCTCCCGAGGGGGGACACCGACGCACTCTGGTCCCTCCTCTCTGGACCTCACACTCCTCTCCCATAAGCACGACAGGGCTGAATGACACACCTCAGGCTGGGCCATCTGGTCAGTGACAGGATAACCCCGGTGGAGGGACAGACCCTCCAGGGAGAACACCCCACGGGCTCCGGAGGTCTAGTTACTGCCTCCCGCACTAATACCGTGTCTGACAATCACTAGCTCTCCATCCACCAGGCCTGTGGCAGACCTGTCACCTGATCTGGGCAGGTGACATATGATGTGGACAGAAAGGAGGTGTGCTGGTTCTAGGTGGAAACATCGAGAACCAGGGCGTGGTTTGCTGTCAGGGACTGAATGTGTCCCCAGATTCATATTCATAGGGTGAAGCCCTGACCCCCCAGTGCAGCTGTTGGGGCCGACAAGGAAGACGTTAACAGCAGAGGAGATCGTGAGAAGTGGGGGCCGATCCCATAGGACTAGTGTCCTTACGCATTAGAGCTCCGTTTCTGCCACACAAGGAGGACAAAGCCAGAAAATCACCAACTGAAAGGCAGGAAGGGCCCACCATCAGAGCCCCGTGCTGGCACCCTGATCTGGGACTTCCTGCCTTCAAACCTTAGAAAATGAATGTCTGTGTTCGGGTGGCCTGGGCCGTGGAACTGTCAGAGCAGCCCCAGCCGACACGTAGCGATCCTCTCCTCTGCTGGTTACAGAAACAGAGTCACCCTCGTGAGGCCTGGGTCCTGAGTTAAGGATGACCTAGAGCCGCCCAGCTGGTCCACAATGGGAAGTAGTTCAGCCTCTGCAGCCGCTGGAGCAGCACAGCCAGCTCCCGTCAGAGTCTCACTCTAACCCAGTCCCCGGGGTACCCAAGCTACCATGCTCCGGTCAGAGTAGACGTCTCACTAACAAACACATGCTCACTTAGAAGCACCATGGAGGGGCACCTGGATGGCTCAGTGGGTTGGGGCCTCTGCCTTTGGCTTGGGTCATGGTCTCGGGGTCCTGGGATCGAGCCTCGCATCGGGCTCTCTGCTTGGCGGGGAGCCTGCTTCCCCCATTCTCTCTGCCTGCCTCTCTGCCTATTTGCGATCTCTGTCAAATAAATAAATGAAATCTTTAAAAAAAAAAAAAAAAGCACCATGGAATTTCCAGTGGTTGGACATCAGGCAGCCTTGGAAGATCTGGGCGCAGGCCCCACAGAGGCAGTGACCCCGACACGAAGGGCTGGCCATAGACAGGAGCCACTCAGCAGCCCCCACCTGACAGGGCTTTTCTCTCCTCAGCAATAACCGACCTGCAAATGCTTCCTGGATGCCTGCACCCAGGGCTCCTGGGGGACAACGGGCTCCCCTCCCTGGGGGTTGGGGGGGCCCTGTGGACACTGCAGGAGGAAAACAGGAGGCATTGGGAATGACAAGAACCACTCTGGGCCGTGTGCCCTGGGTCACAACACGAGGATAAAGTCAGCCTAACTCGTGTGCTCTACACTGCCCTCAAGACCCCATGGCAAAGCCGACCGTGCACAGAGCAGACAGCCCTCCGGACCGATGGTCTACATCTGGCAAAGACCTGGGAAGGAGATGCCTAACCCCTTATCAGACCAGGTTCACTTCTTGGTTCCTCATCTCATTTGCCCTCTGATGAGCCCACAGACAGCTCACAGGATGCTCCATGTGGCCCTGTGGACCCCTATCCCTTACCAACTACAGAATCGCCTGCCCCAAATGTGCTAGGCCCCTGCTAGGGACAGACTCCAGTGGTACCTGAGACGTCAAGCATGGGCCTGTGGGACCTTGATGCCTGTATGACACTTGGTTCATTTCCAGGAAACCCCACGTGATTTCAGAGCCCTACCTGACCTGCAACAAAACCACACTGAAAAGGACGTAGACCGTAACATACAAAGCCAGTGACACCTCTCCACGCCCTCCTGCGGTGGGGCAGAAGCAGGCGGCGGCCACAAAGCAGGACAGGGCATGACATCTGTGTGCAGAAAATCCGTTGACAGAAACACCCTGGGGGGGTGGGGGGGCAGAGGCCAGCACTGGCTCCCTTCGAATGCCTTATCATTTCCCACCTGGTCAAGCTCACACCCGTAGGGCCCACATCCCCAGCTCACCTGCCAAGCCACAGCGAGCTGGGAGATCTCCCGGCCGGACATGCCCTCCGTCAGGTGTGCGATCTCCGAACACTTCTTCCCGTAGTCAAACTGAGCAAGCTTCAAGCGCCTGTGAAGGAGAAATTCCCGTGTGATGTCCTGGAACCCAAGGAACCCAAGACCAGACCAGAGATCTAGGAGGGCCCCTTGGCTCCCACACGAAAGGAGGACTGGGATATCCGCCAGGAGCAGGAACCCGTACTAGAAACCCCCACATCCGAACGCCCCAACTTCTAAAGAGCCAAACTCTGCCTTCATGTCTGCTCTTCATTCCAGGGCTACCAGTTCTGCCCTTCTGGCCCCGCTAGGAACCTCTCTTCCTTCGGGAGCCCAGGTGCCGGCGCAGGGGCTTGTGGGGACAGCAGTGCGGGAGGCGCGCTGCGGCAGCTGCGGGGCTGGTCGGGATGAGCACGAGCGGAGGGGCTCCTGCAGCCTCACGCCCGGCTCCACCACAGGACCGGGGGGCAGGGACCACGTCCTTCTCGCACCACCCCGGTGCCCAGAGGGCACAGCCGCTGGAACCTGTCAGGGGTGAGCTGCTGGCAAGTGTGGAATCAGACAGAGGAAAGCAGACATTTCAGGTCTGCGCGGGTTCACTCCTGTCAATCACACGCTGAGCCCCCTTTCCAAACAGGTCCAGCTAAAGACCCGGGAGAGGCAGTCACTCACGGGAAAAGAGACCTCAGACACTCACACCGCAACCGGTGTCTGGACCGCAATCAGGCTAGAAAGGGCCACCAGGAGGCTGGGCGGTACTGGCGCCGGCCAGGTGCGAGGGAGCAGAGGCCCGGGGGTGAGACGCAAGGGCTCAGGCCGCAGAGGGACAGCACAGGCAGGCAAAGCCCGTCCTAGAACGAAAGACGGCTCTCGCCACCACCAGCGACAGCAGGGATTCAGGTCAGTGCTGCTGCAAGGTCTGGCTCCCCGGAGATGGTTAAAAATAGAGCAGCCTCTCCTATCTGGAGCACTCCGGACGGAGCAACGAGCGAGGGCGGCCCAGACAGAATATGGAGGGCTCCCCCATCGCCGGGTGACTTTTGCAGAACAGGGACCTTGGTGTGTGCTGGCGAAGGGCCCCGGGCTCCCCAGAGTCCGGGTGAGCAGTGAACAAGGGCGAGTCCACCTCCAAGATTGCCACGACCACCTCAGACCGGCCGAGGCCTGGCAACCAGCATCACAGGCCCTCGCTCTCCAGGGCCCGACTGCAGCCAGGGTCCCTCAAGAGCCCCGACCGTCACAAGACTTCACACAGCAGAAAAGCACGGAGATGCTGGTCTGTGATGACAGGGCACAGGGTCCGACACGGGGGCCAGCCGGCGAGCACACCTGACCCCCGCTGCAACCCCAGGGTTAGGACGGGGTGCAGCACCTGGGCGGGGCCCCGTGGCACTCGAGCCATTGGGATACTTACTGCTTTCCCTCTGTGGCCGGCTTCAGAACGTGCTTGTGGAAGTACAGCCTCACCAGGCGCTCCCGCTCCTCCCGCTGCGGCAGGCCGAAGTGGACCATCTCGTCAATGCGGTCATTGACGGCCCAGTCGAACTGCTCAGGTTGGTTGCTGGCCAGGACCAGCATGAACCTGAAGCCAGCAGACAGCGGGGGCTAAGGGGCTGGCTGACCCGGGTGCTTGCCCCCAAGGTAGGGAGCCTCTTAAACCCACACAGGACACTTTTCTAGAAGAATCTATTCAGCGGCCTTTTAACCCAAAAAACCAGCAATGCCTAGCACTGCCCTTTGCCACCCACCCATCCATCGAACATTGCTCTGCTGACCGATGGCCCAGCCTGATGGGGTGGCCATTTAAGCTTCGCCGTGTGGAGAACAGGGACCCCACGGCCAGAGACTGACCTCAGCCCCGCACCAGCCCGAGCCGCGCACGGGGTCCGCGGTTCAGCCAGTTCAGCAGAAGGGCCAACTCAGCAGGAACCTGGGCCAGACGCCCAAGAGGTCTGAGCAGGGGCGAGGGTCTCTGAAGGCAAGAGCCGTGCCAGACAAGGGGGAAGCATATGACCAGGTGGCCCCACAGCTGACTGCAGGGCGAGGTGCCCCCTGGTGACCAGTGGGCCCCCTCAACAACACAGGAGAGCAAGAGTAGGGGATTCGGAAGGAACAAGCCCCTTCCCAGAGCAACCTGTGCCCTCGACAGCCGGCCGTAGGCTGACCACCTGGGCAGCTCGCCGAGGAGGGCGACCAGCAATGCCAAGCACGGCGACTGTGGGCAACGACTGGCACCTGGCTCTGAGACCCCCTGCACCCTGACCAGCCCGGCCCCGCAGCAGGAGCCTCAGTTTCCCCGCAAAGCGGCTGTGCGCCACAGGCGGCCCTCACTTGCTGCTGTGCTGTCCCGTCCGGTGCAGGAAGGCATTCAGGGTGGCCCTGAGGTCCTCGCTGATTCTCTCCTGCAGAGAAAGTCCTGCTGTCAGCGGGGAGGCCGCCGCGTGGAGGCAAACAAAGGCCCCGCTCCAGCCCTCCGGGAGCCGCGCACTAAACATCACTTCAGAAGCTGCTGAAGACGCCACAGGACCAACTCCTGCTTTTCACACCACACTTATGAAGAAAGTGCGGCTGAGGAGCGGGTTGGGGTCAGACTTCATCCTGAGCAACCGGTGACCTCCCCATAAAGCCCAAACATGGCCAACGGACACCACTCCTGACCACACACCTACGGCCGGCCGGGCCCAGCAGGCCAGACGGAAGCTTCCAGAATACTCACAGTCGCTCGCTTCCTGAGAAAAGCGTCCGCTTCATCCACGAAGAGCAGGAGGCTGGGGCGGGGAAAGGACGGACGAGAACTGGTGAGGGCTGCCCAGCAGAGCACGCTCCAGCGGAACTCCGTTTCAGGAACCCGACGCGCCTGCGACCTCAGCAGTGGCTGGGGACCCCGGACCCGACAGAGGCACGCCCAGTCCAGTGCTGCAGGGAAGCGACTGGCTTGTGCCAAACACCCTAATGTGGCACAAGTATCGGGGCCGGCAGCTTCCCATCTTCCACGGGTTAAAAAACAGAAGCACCAAGAGGCTCCTGTGACGAGCACGAGCTGCCAGTCTGTTCTCAGGGTGAGTTTCTCCCTCGGACTCCCGCCCCCAGAGTATTCCAGCTCTGTGTACAACCAGAGACAGGCTGCAGGGAAAGTCACTGACTCCCCCACTGCTCACCCCTCCCAGCGGGCGCTCCGGGGGCCGCCGGGAACCCAGGCCAGGAAAGCACATGCACGCGGGGGGCCATCCCAGAGGGGCCCGGCTCACCCTCGCCGGCTGGTATTGGCCCAGTCGAAGACCTTGTGCATGGCAGTCACACCGTCCCGCCCCATGGGGGCCACATCCCCGCCAGTCATGATGGCATAGTCCATGCCCGAGTGCAGCGCGAGTTTCTAGGTGAGAAAGGGGCCGGGGGGGGGGGGGGGGCGAAGCCTGTTTACTCTCCTCCCCTTCGAAGCCCACACGCACTGAGCTCGGCCCCTACCACCAGGTACGGCTAGGATGCCGCTGGCCTCCCCTGCACAGCCCGTCCCTGAGGGCCACAGCAGCAGCCGAGGCCCACGGCGCCCCACCCACCTGTGCGGCGCATGCCCTCACCTTGGCAAACAGGGTCTTGCCAGTCCCGGGGGGCCCGTACACCAGAATGTTCCTGTACAGGCTGTGGTTCTTCTTGGTGTTCCTCGTTGCTATAGCAATGTCCCGCACACGGGCCTCCAGGCTGGGCTGCCAGGGGACACGGCAGGTTGGGGGGTACTCGGCTGCCAGTGTGCTCCTCCTGAGCGCCCGGAGCAGCCCCAAAGCTGGCTCAGCCCAGGCATTCTACTTCAGGAAGGAAAAGCAGCCCCAGCCTGTAGGAGAGCTCTATAGGCAGAAGGGTACCTCCCACCCCAAAGCCCACCACAGCCCTGGACGGGCAGCAGCACTTACACTGAGGACGACGCCCTCCAGTGCGTCCTGAGGGTTACTGAGGAGCCGCCTGCTGACCTGTGGGCGGGAGGGGGTAACACAAAACACAGGGACAGTAAACTCATCAGCAGAGCCCACAACACGACAGGCACGGAGCGCCAGGAGCAGCCTGACCGCCACACAGAGACTGCCGTGGAGCACACTCCAGGCCACACGTGCCTGGGCCCTGCTCCCGCTCTGGAAGGGTGGCCTATGACACTGCCTGTGCTACTGGGCTGAGCCACTTACAGAGAGCGCGAGCAAGTATGCGGCATGGAACCCGACAGGGGGCTTGATCCCATGGCAAGGAGATCACGAGCTTCGGTGAAATCAAGAGCCACGTGCTTAGCCAAAGGAGCCACCCAGGAACCCCTTCAGATTCTTTATCGATTTTGGGGTGCCTGGGGGCACTCAATTAAGCATCTGCCTTTGGCTTGGCTCATGATCCCAGGGTACTGGGATCGAGCCCTTCGTTCGGCTTCTTGCTCAGTGAGGAGCCTGCTTCTCCCTCTGCTCCTACATACCCCCCACCCCAGCTCATGCACTCTCTTCCTCAAATAAAATCTTAAAAAAATGAAGAAAAAAGATTCTTTACGGATCCTAATTTTTTCAGTTACCCACAGTGATCACTATGGAGATCTAGCCACAGCCCGTGGGAGGATATGCAACAGGAACGACATCAAGCAGTAGGAGGCCTGGCTCCCCTTGAGAAAGGGAGCTCACAGCGTGCAACTTCCAGCGACTTCTCACAGGACAATGGCACACAGGAGCCCCAGGATTTTGTAAACAACCCAAAATCTGCCCAGGGACAATCACACCAACAGATCCCCAGAGGTGACCGAGTGGATATGGTGAGGGTCTCCCCAGTGCGGACGTGACAGGCTCCCAGAACAGCGCCAAGAAGGAAAAAGCCACAGTCAAATCCAACGTGCTGGAGAGAACAGACGGTATTTAGGTAATGAGGGGAAATGAAGACACACGTTCACAATCCAGCTGAAATGCCACAAAGAACTGGTCAGGACACGCAACTGCAGTGAGAAACGGGCCCGCACTTACCTGCACGGGGTGCCTCAGGGCCTCTAGCACCGTGATACGAGACGTCTCCCTCACCAGGGACGGCTTCCCCAGCCGGGCCTCAATGTACCGTCCGGCAACAGATGTGGCGTTCTTGGCAGAGTAGACTCCGACGGCCAGCAGCGTCAGCCCAGCCACCTGGAGTGGGGGAGTGGGAGGGCAGGCAGAGCCCGCCCATCCCGCACCGAGCCGTCAGCAAGTGGCACTGTGCCCTCTGCTCACCCCATCCCATGCAAGGCGACGCAAGGGTCCCACAGCAGCATCCCAGCTGGTGCTCAGTTTCGCATGAGCACAGGTATTTCCAGATGGGCAAGATATCAAAAAGCTTATCATGAACACCCTTTCTAAGAAAGCTACTGCAGGATGCACTCCAGGAACTCCAAGACTAGGGAAGCTTCCAGGTGACAGCCCCAGCTGTGAAGAGACAGAGACCCCAAGGCTCACGGGAGGTAGACCGAATGCTGTGGTGGGAGCACAATCACGGGACACGGGACCAAGAGCTACAAGAGGTTCCTGGAAAGTATGCCGACACCTGGAAACAAAACTGAAATGTCTTCCTTACAAGAGAAACAGCCTCGCCACTGCAGGAGGAAGCAAGGTTCCAGGAGACCAGGTGGGAACTACAATAATAGGAACAAGGGTCCAAGAGGCCTGTGGCAGGGTGGCTGGGACGGGGCCGGCCTCAAGGCAGCTAGCAGCTCGTGAATACAGCAACCTCCAGCAACCACCCCCAGGTGCGTCTCCCCCGCTTGCTGGGAAGGTACACGCTGGATCCGTGAGCAGCTGATCCAACAAGAAGGATGGCCAAGGGGCATTTCCTGCTCAGCCTGTCCTGTGCCCAATTCCCTGCTGAGGAGCTCTGTCAGGGGGCAGGGCCGGGACTGACTGCCACCCCACCACGCAGCCCTGGTCAAGCTTCCAGACTGAAGATGGACGTTAGAGATTCAAGGGCAAACACAGATGTTTAGAACAGCTGGAAAAATCTGAGTGCACGGGGTGCTCAGACCACAGGAGCAGTCAGAATGCCCTTAATTCACCTTAAAACACTCCAGGGAGAGGGGTTGGTGGTACCTGGGTGGCTTGGTTGGTAGAGAGTCTGCCCTGGGCTCAGGTCGTGACCTCAGGGTCCTGGGATCAGCCCCGCACCTGGCCCTCTGCTCAGCAGGGAGCCCGCTTCTCCCTCTCCTTCTGCCCCTCCCCTCCCCCACTTTGCACTCTCTCCCTCAAATAAATAAATCACATCTTTTTTTTAAGATTTTGCTTATTTATTTGACACAGGAGACCGCACACAAGCCGAGGGAACAGGAGAGGGAAAAGCAGGCTTCCTGCTGAACAGAGAGCCCGATATGGGCTCAATCCCAGGACCCTGGGATCCAGACCTGAGCCGAAGGCAGAGGCTTAACGACTGAGCCACCCAGGCGCCCCTAAATAAATCAAATCTTAGGGGAAAAAAAAGGCAGCAACCTCACTAGCTGCAGGTTTCCTTAATTGGTGTCCTGCCCTCCCTGGACAGTCCACCCCGCTCTCCTTGAGGCACAGCCTGACCGCCCCCGCTGCCCTTCACCGTCTCCAGAACGAGGCCAGAACTACGTCCAAAGCAGGGCACTTGCAGGACGGGCTTGGGAAGCCAGGATGCCGGGACACAGGCGCACAGGACACTCCTGGTAAGCCAGGCTACTTGTTAGGGCCTCACTACCATGGGAGCGGATGCCAAGTCACACCATGTGGCCCAGAGCAGTGCCTGGCGCAAGGCCGACAGCAGAAGGCCTTGCGGAGTCGGGGGCTCTCTGGGAACCTGCCCTGGCTGACGCCCTCCCCACTGCCCTGAGTGCTGACCAGCCACGCGGCATGGGGCACAGACCACAGGGCCTGAGGACAAGTGCCTGGAGTCCTACGGCCTCGCTGGCTGCCCTCTGCTTCCCACTAGAGGGTGGGAGCCCTCACAGGAGCACGGTTTAGAGGGGTTCACAGCCACATCTCCGGTGCCCCTGGAGCTCTAGCTGGGCCCCACCCTTGAGGTTGCCAGGCAGACTTCCAGTTACGCTTTCCAAAGGGCAGCGCTTCTAAGAAGAGGTAAACCAGAGCTCTGGCTTCAGATCTGGCTTCTAGATCTTGCAGCCCAACGGTTAAAAGCCTAACCCCAACGCCAACAGCGAAATGCTGGCCGTGCCCCACACCCCGGGGCTGTACCACGTCCTGTTTTCACAGGAAGGGGCTGGAGGGAAGGGCAGCGGCAAAGGCTTACACCTTGGCCCTGCCTGGCCTCCCCCAGTCGGGTGTGAGGTCCCTTTCACTGCTGGGAGGAGGCAGGGACGGGACCCAACAGTGACTGTGACACAGGCCATAAGCAGGAAGACACAGCAGGGGTGTTTACCGTGGCTGTCACTTTGTCCCAGTCTGTCACAAAGGCACGGAATCCTTCACCAAGCAGGGCGCCCGCTGTCCTGTAGAGGAAGCAGCTATGTGACAAGGGATCTAGGCCCCTGGCTGGAGAAAACGGCAAGGGCAATGAAGGTCAGCCCTGAAGGTCAGCACACGGGAAGACCCGCTGAGAGCCTGCCTCCCACCAATGTACCAACTGAGGGCCTCCTGGCCCAGGTGAAAGGCCAGATAACATCGGCCACAGGGCTCTGCCACGGGCCTCTGGGGCCTGTGACTCACCTGATGGACTCCAGGATGGTCTGGCGGTGCTCAGCAGCCTTCAGGCGGATCTGCTCACGAATAATGTCTGCGTTTTCCCGCTCGGCCTTGGCCCGGGCCCGGGCCTCTGCCTCCACACGCAGCATTTCGTTCTTGTGCCGCAGTTCCATCTCCCGTTCCACGGTGGCTGCCCAGGGAAAGGGCAGGGAGAGGGTGTTCAGCCCACGGCCCCCTAATCCTCCCAGAGCGGCTCAGGCAACTCTCCTCCCCAGAGGGAGGTGACGCCGGTCAGATGCTGGGGGAATGCCTGGCTTGCCGAGCTTCTGCTATGCGGCCCCAACCAGAGAACGGAGAGCCCCTAGGAGGCCCTACCAGAGTCTCGAAATGTTGCTTGGGGATCCAAGTGCCTGAAGCATCATACGTCCATGCTTACAGGCTGCTTTCCCCAGTAGCCGTTCTCCAGCCTAGGGCAGCTCCAAGGACACAGCCCCCACAAGCCCAGCTCTACCTCGCCGCATGGCCTCCTGCTTCTGCACCGACTCTTCCTGCTTCCGTAAATTCTCCTCATTGAGAAGTTGCTGAGAAGAAGCCACAGGGAAAAGGGAAGACTTTCAAAATTAGGAAACTAACCTGGGGTGCCTGGGTAGCTCAACCGGTTGAGCTTGGTTTTGGCTCAGGTCATGATCTCAGGGTCATGGGATGGAGCCCTGCGTGGGGCTCGGTGCTCAGCAGGGAGCCTGCCTGTCTTTCTCCTCCTCCCTCTGCCTCCCCACCCCTGCTCAGGCACTCACTCTCTCTCATTAAAATAAATAACTAAAACCTTAAATAATATATTAAAAATGATCAGGAATCAATCTAAAAGCTGAGCAGCCTCCACCTGTGGGGACACTTAAGCTGCCCCGGGGTCTGCAAGCCTCTCTGGGAATGACGGCCCGGGGCCTACACACTCCACAGCCCTCAGAGGCAGGTCTGAACCCCACATAGGACATGTGCACATGTGCATGGGGGGTGGGGTGGTGCAGGAGCCCTTGCCTCTAGCACAGGTCCGCCACAGGACAGGCCTCTGGGCACCCTAGGCCAGACAAACATCTGTCCTCAGAACACTGTCTTTCCCTGTGAAATTTACTTTTAGGAGGAAAAAAAATTTTTTTAAAGATTTTATTTATTTATTTAACAAAGAGACACCAAGAGAAGGAACACAAGCAGTGGGAATGGGAGAGGGAGAAGCAGGCTTCCCATAGAGCAGGGAGCCCGATGCAGGGCTCGATCCCAGAACCCTGGGATCATGACCTGAGCCAAAGGCAGACGCTTAACGACTGAGCCACCCAGGGGCCCCCACATGTGCCTCCTTCATCTCCATTGCCCATCCCACCCCTCTCCCCACACCTCTGTCCAAGGACCCTCAGTTTGTTCCCTATCATTAGGAGTCTCTTATGGTTTGTTTCCTTCCCTCCTTTGCTTTTCACCCTTCCCCTATGTTCATCTGTTATGTTTCTTAAATCCCACATACGAGGGGCGCCTGGGTGGCTCAGTGGGTGAAGCCTCTTATTTCAGCCCAGGTCATGATCTCAGGGTCCTGGGATCGAGCCCCACATCTGGCTCTCTGCTCCTTGGGGAGCCTGCTTCTCCCTCTCTCTCTGCCTGCCTCTCTGCCTACTTGTGATCTCTGTCAAATAAATAAATAACATCTTTAAAAAAAAAAATTCCACACACGAATGAAATCAGGTTGTCTTGCTCTGACTGACTTTTTTTGCTTAACGTTACATACCCTAGCTCCATCCAAACCGTAGCAAACGGGAGGATTTCTTTCTCTTGAAGGCTGAGTTTCCTTGTGACATCCTGACAGGTACCAGCATTTCGAAGCCACCCCTACCATGCCCTTGTCACAGCCGGGTTCCCAGGTTCTCACCTGGAAGAACCTCACCACAGCCAGAGCCTGGAGGCCGTGTCTCCTGTGTGTGCGCGTCCCTGGGACCCAGCACCTACTGCTGGTAGAACAGCGCTGAATTCCGGCCCACCAGCTGCCCCCGAAGACGCCCTCGGCGCGGACAGAGGCGGCTCACCTGCTGCTTCAGCTGGTCCTCGTGGCGCTGTCGGGCCAGCCTGTCTTGGTACTGGGCCCTCTAGGGAGGGAGAGGGCAGCGTGAATACGGCTCAGCCGCAAAAGCTGGTGGACGGCCTGAAACCAACATCTGAATCCAGACTTTCCTGGGTGCTGGGCCCTCAGATAAGCCACCCACCCCTACCTGCTGTGAGCGAGCACACACGCTTGAGACACGTGTGCTCCCCGTCACGCTCAGCACTGGCGGACCCGTGGGCTTTCGATGTTTGCACACGGTCTTCCCAGAGCCTCGATGGGCGACAGACCCACACTGAATGTGGGGACCATGGCATGCCCCAGCAGCGCCCCACCCCGGTCACCCTGTGGCTGTGTGGCCCTGCGGTCCTTACGGCCTGGTGCTGCCGCGTCTCCTCGCTCAGAGTCTTCCTCCTCTCTTCCGCCTGCACGCGGATCTGTTCGCTCTTCAGCTGTTCCACGGCGGCCTCGTACTCCTACAGAATGTTCCAGCGGCTGCAAGCCCAGAGCTGCTAGGGCCTCCCTCTCAGGACTCTGAGCTCAGGGCTCACTGCCTCAACAACCCTCTCCTGTGTGGGCTCCAAAGGGGCTGGACAGGAGCAGGAGAGGCACCCAGAAGACACCTCCTGGACCAGCACCCCGCACGCCCGTAGGCTCCCAGCCGCGTGGGCACCACGGGCCAGGACCACCTGGCCCCACAGGTAGTGAAGTGCCAGGAGAACGGATAGGTTTGGGCCCCAAAGAAGCAAGGGCATCCAGGAGACCTGCTTCCCCAGTTTCCGTGGCTTATGTCCCATGCTCACTTGTGGACCACGCTTTCCAACAGCCAACGACGGGCCAGAGCCTGTGCCGTTCCCACGCCTGCCGCGTGCTCAGCATAATGGTCCCGCCAGATGCAGACGGACCAGGTGAGAACGTGCCTTGGGGAGACCAGACGGTGCTCCCCACAGCAGCCCTTCCGGGCAGGGCGGCTGCAAGCGTTCGGGCGACAAACCCAGCGCGCCTTGGCCTCTTCCTGTTTCCCTCTCAAGCACCAGCACAAAGGCAAATCCAAGCCCGAGATGCCTGAGGAACCCGCCCGGGCCCCACCGCCCACGTGCACTTTCTCCTTCCAGCCTCCCTGCCCACGGGGCGAGGCGTCCTCCGGGCAGCACACCCACTGCCCACCTTGAGCTTGGTCTGCTGCTCCAGCTGCAGTGTCTGCTCCTGCATCTGCGCCAGACTCAGGGCCTCCTTGGCGTGTCCTGGGGGAGATAGGGACAGAGTGGGTGTCACGACGCTGGCACACCAGGCAAGCGTCCCAGTGTGCCGGGGCTTTCAGGGAGACCACAGCTCACCTCAACCGCAACACGCCTGTGCCCACCCTCACTCCCGCGATCTTGCTTGGTGACTCCCCCACCCCAGGGCCACTGTCCCCTTCTCATCCGCTGTGTCCGCTCCCCCCCTCCACGGAAAGCCCTGCATGCGAGACCTCGCGCCCCCTCCAGCTGTCACGTCCCGGAGGGCTATTAGAAAGGTTGCCCCACGCGAGCTGAGAGGAGGGTCAACGGGACAGTCCCATTCTGGTTAAATAAAAAAGCAGCCTGTGGCTAGAGTATCTTATTTTTCGTGCTAAGTAGTTTCTCTTAAGTCTCCAATACCTATCGTTATCGACCCCATACCAGACACAGGTGCGTAGCACAATCAACATGAAGGAAACAGTGAAGTTACAACTACACCAACGCGCAGTGAAGGCTCTTCACAGACCTCGTGAACACGTGATTTATCAATGTCTTCTGTACTTTTTTTTTTTAAGATTTTATTTATTTGTCAACAGGGAGAGAGAGAGAGAGTGCGTGCGCCCAAGCAGGAGGAGCACCAGGCAGCCCAACGCAGGACTCAATCCCAAGACCCTGGGATCATGACCTGAGCCTTCCAGGCATCCCTTATCTGTGTATTTTATTCATAAGGTGCAATTCGTATCCATCAATATTGGGTATTCTGGAAAAAAACTAAGTTCTGGTCCTCTCCTAACCAAAAAACCCATGCATCTGGCTTCTCAAGTATTTCGGTGAGGACACAATTCTCCCATACGTGAGACTTTACTGTAAAAAATGTTCTACTATATGACAGCACGGAAAGTAACTGGGAACCCCTGGGAACCCAGCTCCCTGACCAAACAATGCACCTGGTTTTCTCCCTTTGTGTACCAAGCATCTACCCTTCCACCCCAGACCCACAATCCAGTTTTTGAAGCCTTTGAAGTATGCTGCGGACCCCAGTGCCCATCGTCCCCAAACCGCAGCAAACACGTCAGGAGCTAGAGCAGACTTCTGCGCACAGGGCTGTCAGCGCCCGCACAGGCGGACGTGGATGTGGCGGGAGCTGCCGTGTTTGGAGGGTCTGCTAGGGCAGGGCAGGAAACGAGAACACACTGCCTGCGCCTGGGAAGGCCCTTCCGAGCCGGTCCAGAGCGGGCTGACACAGCCTCCCACCCTCCACTGCAAGGCTCTTCCCTGGGTGTCTGGTGATCGGAGGCACAGGATCCCGGGGGACCCGCCCCTGAGGAGAGGTGGCACAAAGGCACCGGGGTCCCATATCCTGCACCATAAAATTGGGAAGCCACAAAGCCAAGCCTTGAACAGACCACAGAAGACCCTTTAACATAAACATCTGAGCAGGAGGGCATGAGAGCACAACCGAGCTCACCCTGGTGCAGCAGACAGGAACGTGGGCGCCTCAGGCCAACAACGCGGAGACCGGGTCCCAGCTGCCCTTTCCACCACCCCATGACCTTTGGCCAGCCAGGCTAACCTCACCTGCATACGAGGCAATCAGAGATCCCTCAGCCGCTGCCTCTCGAAAGAGGGAAAGGAGAGAGCAAGTACCTGAGCACAGGGCCTGGCACACGCCCGGCTCATCACAAGCTCTGACCTCACACTACCAACGACCATTCACCGCCTCGAGACCATCCTGTGAGAGGAGCTGCGCCTTCCAAAGCATCCCCGTAGCGCCTCCTACAGGCAAGGGGCTCTTTTATACACCCCTTTCATGGAGTGGACAGGCACACGGACAGGAGCACTCCGGGATCTCAAGGCCAAATGTGCTTCTCTGGCCTCCAAGGAAGGCTAGAGACCTAGGGGACGAGGGAGCGTCAGGCTGGGCCCAAAGGACAGAGCAGGTGGTCATACTACAAGGAGCTGCTGACGGCATCTTGGTTTGCTTGGAGACAGCAGTGAGGTCAACAAACAGGCTCAGCCCAACCAGGAAGGCACTGCCGCCTGTGAGCTGCGAGTACCAAAAAGACAGGTTTTGCAGAGCGGCTACTTTTTTTTTTAAGGATTTTGTTTATTTATTTGACAGAGAGATCACAAGTAGGCAGACAGGCAGGCAGAGAGAGAGAGGGAAGCAGGCTCCCCGCTGAGCAGAGAGCCCGATGCGGGGCTCGATCCCAGGACCCTGAGAGCATGACCTGAGCCGAAGGCAGAGGCTTAACCCACTGAGCCACCCAGGCGCCCCTGGAGAGCAGTTATTGAGCAGAGAGGCAAGAGGCACCCTGGGAAGAATGGCTTGGGGACAGAAAGAGGGTGGCACACCAGAGCAAAAACCTCTCCCACTGACCAGCAGTCAGGCCAGGAAGGCTTACAGGAACAGAATAACGTACAGGGACGCCTGGCTAGCTCAGTGGGAGGAGCATGTGACTCCTGATCTTGGGGTTTTATGTCTGAACCCTAAGTTGGGTGTAGACATGACTTAAAAAGTAAAAAAAAAGGGGCGCCTGGGTGGCTCAGTGGGTTAAGCCGCTGCCTTCGGCTCGGGTCATGATCTCAGGGTCCTGGGATCGAGTCCCGCATCGGGCTCTCTGCTCAGCAGGGAGCCTGCTTCCCTCTCTCTCTCTCTCTCTCTGCCTGCCTCTCCCTCTTCTTGTGATCTCTCTCTCTGTCAAATAAATAAATAAAATCTTTAAAAAAAAAAAAAAAGTAAAAAAAAAAAGGGGGGAGGGCACCTGGGTGGCTCAGTATGTTGGGGCCTTTGCCTTCAGCTCAGGTCATCATCCTAGGGTCCTGGGATTGAGCCCCGCATTGGGCTCTCTGCTCTGTGGGGAGCCTGCTTCTCCCTCTTCCTCTGCTGCTCTCCCTGCTTGTGCCAGGACTGCCTGAACTTGCTCTGTCAAATAAAGTCTTATCTTAAAAAAAAAAACAAAACCAAAAACAAAACACCGGATGTAGAGACTGATGGGGGACCATACCTCCTCTACAGTGTCCCCTGGGGACAGCTGGAGAATATCCTGGGGGAGGAGCTCTCGGGCAGCTGGTACCAGAGACGTGGCAGCTGTTCAGAGTCACGATCAGATGAGGAAGAGAGGCCCCTGACCTGCCTCCCCTCAGGCACACTCAAGGCTATTCACAAAGGCCCCTATAACTGCAAGGGTTTGGGGACAGTATGATTCAGCTTCCATAAGTGGGAAAACTCTGAAATTCTCTGCAGGACTGAGTGGATAAAATGTCACAGTAGCTGGGGCAGAAAGGTGCCCCCCCAAAAGGCGTTAACAAGAAACTGGATCACATGTCAAAACTCTGTCATTATCCGAGAGGCCCTGGTGCCCAGCCCAACCACATACTGAAATTATCCAGGCAGGCCTCAGGAAACAGGCCCAAATATCCAAATGTTTTTAATGTCCCCAGGGGACCTGAGGGCCAGGCACCCTTGCACCAGAATGTTCCTGCAGTCCCCTGGGGAAGGGCAGGGACGGAACCACAAAGTGACAAGCCTCTCCGTCCTTAAACAGATAGACTCTCCCTTACACCTGTTTATAACACGGCTTCTTTATACAGCCTCCTTTGAAAAGCAGCATCTCTGCTCAAGCAATAATTTGAGAACTGTATTCTTTCTATCAGTATTTATTTGGTGCCTTTTACATCCCAGGTTCTCACACACTCGGACTACGTCCCAGGACAAATCACTAAGCCAAGGGGCGCCTGGGTGGCTCAGTGAGTTGGGCCACTGCCTTCGGCTCGGGTCATGATCTCGGGGTCCTGGGATCGAGTCCCGCATCGGGCTCTCTGCTCAGTAGGGAGCCTGCTTCCCTCTCTCTCTCTCTCTGCCTGCCTCTGTCTGCTGTGATCTCTCTCTGTCAAATAGATAAATAAAATCTTTAAAAAAAAAAAATCACTAAGCCAACAGGAGAAAAGAAAATTGGGAGGAAAGGACAGAGGTTTAGTGAAGGTCCCGCCGATGACCGTGCCTTGAGGGCCCTGAGTCAGGAAGGAAGGCTACCAGGAGGGGCCAGGACATACTGACCTGCGTTGCACTACAGACCCCTCCCATCTGAACGCTCATGCTTTCCAGTAACAAGCACAAATCTGCTTTCTTTTCCACGAAACCAATGGCCCTCAACCGTACTTCCCTGCCCAAGCGGAGGACTGTCACCCGCACCACACTCCGACCGGATCTGGCCAAGGCTCCGGCCACGTGGAGGCAGCAGCAGGCGCGAGGAGCTCCCCTCCGCGACAGTCACTTAAGCCCAGGCTCCAGGCCCGGCAGTTGCTGCCTGTGGCCTCTGAAAGTTCGATCTGCACCAGCTTTCTCACTGGGGGACGCTCGGAAGGCGCCAGGGCTGCTGGTACCCCCGGCGTCCCCGCACGCACGGTGGCTCCGGCCAGGTTTATTCCCGTAGGCCGGGTTCTTCGCCGGGCAAGTGGGACTGCAGCCAGCCGCCTACCACTCGGACGGCCAGGGAGTCCAATGCGCCCCAGGACCGGGCATGCCCGGGGGCTCGGTGGACCGGCTCTCCGTGGAAGAACCCCGAGCTCCCCGGGCCCCCACCCCAGCCCGGGCCCCACCCTCGCCGCCGCACTCACGCGAATGCTCCAGCTCTCGCGCCGCCTTGGCTGCGCGCTCCAGGCCCGTGGGGTCAAAGTTGCTCCATTTGTCCTTGGGCGCCTGCCGATCCCCCGCGCCGCGGTCCCCGCCGCCTTCCGCCCCAGGCTGAGCGGGCGGCAGAGACAGCGGCGGCCCCGCGCCTTCGCCCTTGGGGCCCTTGATCCCGAAGAGCCACGACATGGCGCGAGACCGCCACGCGCCGCGGCACCCGCGGGGAGCCCAAGCCGAACTGTAGCGCGGGGAGCCGAGCAGCCTCCACGCGCCGCGAGCCGGCGGTCAGAGGTCCCGCGCAGGCGCAACAACGCCTCTTCCTCCCAGGCGACGGAAGCGCATTAGGGACCCGAACCGTGCGGCCTTCGGATTGGCCGGGGGTGACGTGACGCCACCGGCGTCCTCGCCAGGACTGCCTGAACTTGCTCCGGGGGCGGGCCGTCGAGGGGCGGGCCGAAGCGCCTAGTTACGGGGACCGATCAAGGACAAAATCGACGGCTTGGGTGCATGAGCGCCCTGGTTTACGTCGGTTCCCGGTCCGGCGTCGGTTCTGTGTCCGCGCGCGGTGGGCTCCCGCAGAATCCCGACGAGGCGGACGGAGGTGCGGGTGCCGGCGAGCCGAGGCGGGGCGTACGCGAGGCCTCGAAGCCAGGGCGGTAGGCCCCGACGGAGGGAGCGGCCGCCGGAGGAGAGGCTGCCGAAAGAGGCTGATCCGTGAGGGAGGATCCACCCGGCCGGGCGCGGGGATGCCGGGGCCCCCGGAGGCTGGAGGCCAAGCTCGGTGGGTCTGGGCGCTCGCGCACGGAGCGGGCGCTGAATGGGACGTTCGGAGGGGGCCCGCGGTCCCTGCCAGTGCCCGGCAGCCTCAGGAGGTTCACGCGCCGGCCGGAGGTCGAGCTCTCCTCGGCCTCCTCCCGGGTATCTCAGACCCCAGCGGCCCCTGCTCGTGCGCTCCGGCTCCCAACGCGAGGGAGGCCGACTCAACCCCGGAAGTGTGGAGACGCAGAGCAGCCCACCCCCGGTCCGCCAGGAGAGCGCCCTTGCTGGAGGAGGGGTCCTGGCTGGGGGGCACCAGCAAGGGCCACGTGCCTGGTTCCGGGACACAGCGCCAGGCCGGGTGGCCTGGGGCGGAGGGAGAGAAGGCTGGGCAGAGCCAGCATTGCTCTAGAACCCGCAGTGCCTGGAGCTAGCAAAGTTCGCTTCTGGGGCCAGCATCCAAGTTGCCCCTTTACTCTTTCCTTGATGGAATTGGTCGAGTTCCCAGATTTATATGGCGTTGTCCCCACTACACTGAAAACAGCTTTAAGCCTGAATAAAGGGGGGGGGGGGGTGTCACAGATAATTCTGTGATTTTTCATCTTCAAGAGAAAGCCAAATGAGTTTCCCAGCCAGATGCCACCCCCTCCCCGACACCAGTGGCCATCCAGGTTTTAATGGATTAACCACAAACTAGACCTCCCAAAGCACCCGCCCCGCAGGGCTCGGCTGGATTAATAAGAGGAAATGCTGGTCCCTTTTCTGTTCTTTCTCTCCAGCTTCCAGAAGGACCTGCTGGTTCTGGTGTTGCTCACAGTCGCCCAAACCCACATACACTCCACGTCCACCCCCATGGGACAGACTCCAATTCTGCCAAAAGAGTGGCTGTCCAGCCAGCCCTCCCAGGACTGAGCCCCCAAAATAGGGCCCCGGGCTGCTGATTCCCATCCTCGCTGCCAAAGCAGGGCTCCCAGATCACAGGGCTCCTGCAGCTCTTCCGTGGGCTTCCAGAGGGCCAGAAGAGGGCATGAGGGGTCATAGTGCTGAGCTCAGAGCTCACTGCGCCTCCACTCTGTCTTCCCTGAGCAGTTGCCTACTCAGATGCCCTGGCCGGCTGTTTTCTCCCCCTGCGGATCCACCTGGCAGAAGGTCTGCACAGCCAGGACATCCCCATGGGCACCTGGCGTGGGGGATCCTTAGCACAGGCCTCCACCCTGCTGGCAGGAGACACACTGTGACCACTGGCCTGCCCTTCTCACAACAGAAGCGGGGGCAGATACACCACACCGTCTGGACAGACCTCAGGAGCAAAGTCCTCAGAAGCCATGGCCACTGAGGAAGATGTGTTCTCCGAGAGGGGCTGTGAGTGGGCCCTTGGCTGCAGCATGATACACCCTCTTGCTTTTTTTGTCTTAACCAGAAGTAACCACAGCACAGCCCATTCTGATTTTCACACCTGCATCAGAGGCTTATAGTTCCATGTGTCACTTCGCACAAAATGACAGTCCCTGCAGGTGGCAGCCTTGGGCTGGACCTCGTAGATCGAGGAGCCTGCAGGGACGTGGCGGGGACAGGACAAAACTGCTTCCTGAAGGTTGTTCCCAGACGTGGCCCAGACTTACCAACCTTTAAGAGTTGCCTGGGCGGCTCAGTCATTTCAGGGTCTGACTCTGGATTTTGGCTCAGGGTCATGGGATGGAGCCCCCCCATCTGGCTCTGTGCTCAGCGTGGAATCTGCTGGAGATTCTCCCTCTGCCTCTCCCCACCCTGTGCACATGCTCTCTCTCTCTCTCTCTCTCTCTCTCTCAAATAAAGAAAGAAATCTTATTTAAAAAAAAATTAGGGGCACCAGGGTGGCTCAGTGGGTTGAGCCTCTGCTTTTGGCTCAGGTCATGGTCTTGGGGTCCTGGGATCAAGCCCCGCATTGGGCTCTCTGCCCAGTGGGGGAACCTGCTTCCCCCTCTCTGCCTACTTGTGATCTCAGTCAAATAAATAAATAAAAATCTTAAAAAAAAAAATTAAAAGTTGCCTGGAACGGTGCAAAGAGCAGCACTTCCAAGGTAAGGGCTTCCAGAAGAGACATTCGTTGGCATGGAAGTGGGGGCTCCTTTCCCTGCCCTCAGCATCTGGCAGTGATGAGCTGAAGCTGGAGTGTCTCCCGGGGAGCAGGGCCATGTGTCTTCGGCCACTCTGCCCTTGCTTGGGGTCGCAGGCATGTTTGGGGGAGGAGCCCATCTGTCTCAAGGGCATGACAGCAGTTAGGAAAGCAAGTGCCAGTATTCTTGTTTCTCTTGTCACCTGCACACCACTCTGCAGGCTGGACCAGGAGGCTCAGTGTGGAAGGGGAACCTTTCCAGGGGCCCAGTGGGCTTGGACCTACAGGTACTCAGGGCATCAGGGCTGGGCACCCTGGCCTGCATGTGGGGCATTCTGATCAGGTCTGGGGAAGGGTTCCCTCTCTGGTCGATGCTGCCTAGGACCCTGTTGTTCACATTCACTAGCCTTGGGAGGGGTCAGCCGACTGCACAGCCTGCTAACCACTGGTCATGGTATAAGCAGGTGCCTGCAGTGGCACACGGACCACACGGTACCACTGGCTTCCCTGGGCCTGAACCCGCCAGGGGTTGTGGGGACATGTAGGAGAAACCCAACACCCAGTCAGCAGTACTTCCCTACCCTCTGACCAAGTCTGGCCTGGCCTGCCACTACCGGGGTAACCTGGACCCACCACCTACACCCCTGCCTGCCTGCCGGCCCTGGCCCCGGCCACACAGGAGGGGCAGGAGCCCTTTGTCCCCCATGCCACTATTACATAGGCACACCGTGGGCTCGTGCACCGCTGGCCCCCACAAACATTCAGTACACAGACCAGTGTGTGCTGCAGGCCCTGGGTGCTTAGGGAGCCATGTGATTCTTGGGAGCCTGGTCCTCGAGAAATGGTGGCAGGCCAGCCCGACTGAAGTTTGCCTCCAAACCCATGCCCACCAAGCCCGAGTGGGCAAACTGAGAACACAGTCAAGGACTCCGGGACCACCTCTCTCAACGCTGCGGGGTTTCCGGATACCCGTCAAACTGCTGCTGAGGGAGTGATCTTGCCAGCAGAGGGCGCCACAGCCCCACCCTTGGTCTGAAGGCTGCGGTGGGGACGGCCCAGCACAGTCAGGTCCTGCTCCTGCCTTCGGCCACTGTGCTCCAAACCGCGGGGTGGGCCTGTAGAAATGCCCACGGCCCTCTGAGGAGGTGCAGATGGCAGGGTGCTCCCAGCCTCCGCAACAGGGGGGGCTCTGCTCCCCTCCTCTTCCCCAGCACCAGCCGCAAAACACGGGCCTTGGGTCTGGAGCTCTTAGAATACTGGAGTGTTGGGACGGCGTAAAGCACTCCAAGGAGACCGCAGAGCTCAGTTTACAACTAGTTTATGTACTTCAAAGTCTGGGATGTTAGTGGGGAAGAGGCAGTGTGAGCACGGAGTTGGAGAAGACAGGAGTATAGGCCTTGGTGGGGCTGGGGGACAGTGGGTACTGCCCTTACGACGTGTCTGGTGGCCCCAGTAGAGTAGCAGTGACAGCAGAGGGGGTCAGAAGATGCTGTAGAGAGAATCGCTGGGGTGACCCCCCCGGGGGACTCTTGTTTGTCCCGGCCCAGGCATGGAAGCTCACCACCCAGACGCACCCTGTGCATGCACTAGCCTTGGGGCTTGCAGGGTCCTGTTCCTTCGGGAAGGTGTGGTCTGCATCTCTGTGGCTGCAGGGGGACACAGCGGGGTCCTGGGCAGGAAGGCAGGGCCACTGTCCCCAGCAGGCACTACCCCTCAGGCCAACTGAACGCCCTGGTAAAGCCCAGTTTTCTGCTCACCCAGCTGCTGACCGTACCATCAACCCGCCGCCACAACTCCCTGCCCTTCTCCAGATCCTGTCCCCTCCGGAAAGCCTTTGGAACCCAGCCAGAGCCAGCTCCTGCCCTTCCCCAACCACCTTCTACCAACATCTAGGACCCGAGTGGCCGCAGGGACTCAGAGCGGCCGACCGGACCAAGCCCGCTCAAACCGATGCCAGCCCTTCCCCCAGAGGGACTGGTTCTTCACAAGCGACAGGTCCGGCCGCTCCGCTCGGCTGCCTCCTGTCCTGGGCTCAAGGCCAGTCCTGTATCTGATGTTCTCAGCCCGCCCCAGGCTCCCTGCCCACCTTCCGGCTAACTCCTGCCTAAAGGACAGCACCGCGCGCCCAGCTCTGGGCCCGGGCGGGGCAGGGGGTCGCGATGGCAAGAGCTGCTGCCACAGCGGCAGCGGAGGGTCAGGCGGGGGAGCCAGGCGAGGCCCCCCCGTCCTGGAAGGCAGACGCCCGAGCCGGCGGCCCTCCGCCGCTGCAGGAGAGTTCGGGGTGGGGGGGACGGGGGTTCGGGCGCAGTCGCCGCGGGGCAAGGCCCAGGTTCCGGCGGCGCGCGCTGCCCCGCCGGGCTGGGGAGAAGGGGGCCCTCGGGCGGGCGGGGCGGCCGGCTCCGGCTCACGGCGCCCGACCCGCTGCCCCCGGCGGCTGGGGGCGCAGGGCGCGGCTGCGCGGGCCGTCGGGCGTGCAGGCCTTGGCCGACAGCGCCCTCTCGCGGCCGGAGCGGAAGGCGGCCGTCACGGTCACCAGGTAGGCGGTGCCGGGCGCCAGCCCCTGCAGCGTTGTGCCGTTGCGGCCCGCGGGCACCTCCACGCGCTGCGCCGCGCCGCCCGGCAGCGGCCCGTACTGCACGTGGTAGCCGAGCACCGCGGCCGGGCCCAGCGCCGGCGTCCAGCTCACGCGCAGGCTGCGCGGCCGCGCGTGCGAGACGACGATGCGCTCCGGCCCGGCCTCCTCTGGGGGTGGCGGGGGAGGGCGCGTGAGAGGAGGGGGCGGGGTCTCGTCCTGGCCCCGCCCCGCGCCCGCGGCCCCGCCCTCCGCGCCGGGCTCACGGGGCAGCGTGTGCACCCGCAGGTGCTGCGGCCTCACGAGGTGCACGTTGGACTCGGGCACCAGCGCCACCTCGTAGTCGGTGTCGGGGTCGAGGTTGGTCCAGGCCCAGCCCGTGGCATTCCCCGGCAGCTGTTGGCGACGCACGGTCCCCGGGTCAGCGCTGGGCGCCAGCTCCAACACGTAGTAGCCGGAGTCTGCGGTCAGCAGGGGCGGCCAGGCCAGGCGGAAGCCGCTGGACGTGACCTCAGAGGCGCGGAGCTGCTGCGGCCGCATCGCGTCTGTGGGTGGTGCAGGACGTCAGGTCTCCTCTCGCCCGGCCTGGGGCCCTGACTGCTGACTCAGGGCGGACGGGACAGGGAGATGTGGGGGACAGCCCAGGCTCCAACACCGCAGCCGTGCTAATGATACACGACCCAGTGACAGGGCTGAGCTACGGAACCTGGGACTCCATCAGGTGCTCAGCGGCAAACCCCCGCAGGTGAGGAGCCGTCGTGGCCACTTCCCACCACTCCAGTGGCCTAAACAGGGCCCCTCAAAGGTGGTGTTTGAGAACAGAAGGCCAGCCCCTTTCCTGGGCCCCAGTGGCCAGCACAGAGTGTGGGGTCAGCTCTGGACAGTCCATGCAAAGGGGCACCACTGGGGCAGCCAGAAGATGGGAGGCCACGGGTGGGGGGACTCCCCAAGGGGGGATGACGTGACAACTCCAAGAAAAGCTGGGTGAGCGGTCAGAATACCACCTGCCTCAGATTTCTAGGGGGGGCTCCAGAGTGGGACCCCCAAATGTGCATTACTCCTGAGACTGTGACACCACATGGCCATCTGAGTGACCATGCAAGCAGATAAGGTTGATAAATGTCTGGGCAGTTATGCCCATTGGGATCCTCATGCTTCCTCATTTAATGTCGGGTGCTCCAGCTGTCAGCCTGGCACTCATTCTCCTGCCCGTCTCCCAGATTCAGACCCCACCCCACCCCTGGAGCCCCCGCCCCACTGCCTCACTGCCCTGCAGCCTTGGGTTCTTCCTGTCCAGCTGCTTGCTTTTCCTCCTGCTGTCCCCTCCAGACTCAGTCACAGTGGCTGACGCGGGGGCCACCAGAGCCCAGGTATCCCTGGGAGAAACCTCTGAAAGGACCCTCTCCCTCCTGCAATCCACAGCCCAACCCCTTTCAGTTTTTGGTGGATGATTAACCCACAGGCGGAGGCTCAGGAAGAATCCTGGGGTTAGTGGCATTTTTCAGTGGATAGAGCCAGCTGAGCCAATAATCAGGCCCTTCATCTCCCCCCCCCCACCATGAGGTTTGGCTGGGTGGGGGGTGCAGAGGTGGTCTGTAAGGAAGTTGGTGGGGAGCTGCTAGCCTGCACTGGGCCTTCCCTGGTCCAGCCTCCTCTCTAGCAAGTCCCCAAACCACCACTGGCACCAAGTCACTCCGCGACTCTCCTCCCCCCTAGGGTGGCAGGGCCTGCTCTCTGTGCAACCCTACGCCATCCCGACCCGGCTCTCTCACTCGCAGGCATGTACAGGAGCCTGCGGTGTCCATCGGCACAGTCCTCAGGCTTGGGCCTCCCTCTTCCTCTCCATTTAACCACATCCCACCACAGGCAGCCCCTTGGTCGCCCCGCCCCTCCAGGCCCTCCACCCTGGGGTGGGCCAGTTAGCGTCAGCAGGGACGGCCCCTGCACGTGTTTACTCAGGCCTGACCCTCTGCCCGCTAGAGCCCCAGGCAGTGGGGCCTACAGGGCGCAGAGCCTGACCGCGCCCCTGGAAGACGCAGAGAGAAGTTTGTGAGTTACCTCCCTGCCGACCACCCCGACAAAGTGCTGTTGGCCAGGCCCCCGGCCCCTGCTCCGGGCCCTCGAGTCCCTCTCCCTGCACCTCTTCCGGGGCTCCTTGGCTACCTACCCAGAATGGATGCCCTCAGCTGCTGGGCAATGATGTGTAGGTCATCCACGTCCACAAAGTGTAGGTACTCCTCGGGGGGCGCTGAGGCAGCGGCTGACAGCTCCAGGAGGTTGCCGCGGCCGGTGCTGACGACGAAGACAGTGACGCCCAGGTCCTTCAGCTCCTGCATGGGGGGTCCCACGGGGTCGCTGGAGCCGCCGTCTGTCACCCACACCAGCACCTTGGGCACCCCTGGCCGGGCCCCCGCCACCTCTGCAAAGAGCTGCTCCTTGGCGTATGCCAGCGCCAGGCCAGTGTTGGTGTCGCCCATGCGCTGGGCTGCAGCACGTATGGCATCCTGGACAGCCTCGCCTGAGCTGTGCTGGCCGAAGGGGAACTCGGTGTACGGGCGGCTGCCCACATGCACCAGGCTGGTGCGCAGAGCCCCGGGGCCCAGGGGCAGCAGGCCCACCAGTTGCCCCACAAACTCCCGAACTCGGGAAAACTCATAATGAGACACGCTGGCCGAGCTGTCCAACAGAAACAGCAGGTCCCCCTGGGGGGCCGATGCTCGGGGGCCTGGGGGAGAGGGGAGGGTTCAGCCCCGGGTGGTGGCCCCCAGACAGCCCCACACCCAGGGCAGAACCCCCAGGGTCTGAGCTTCCCCTACGCTGGAGCTTGTCCTTACCCAAGTAGGCCCTGAAAGTCCGCTCAGCCCCACCCCCAAAGGTCCTGAAGCTGGCACCCCTGGGGAAAGGAGGAGAGGGGTCCTGAGCCAACAAGTTGCCCACAGTCTCAGTGGGTTCAAGCTCTGCACCCTGGTCATATGCCTGGGGTGCTCTCTGGGCTCAGGTCTCATCTGTCGCGGAGAGCCACCCCCTCTAAGCCCCTCCAACCTCCCTTTGCTCAGCCGACTCTCTGCAGGCTGGAGCCAAGGGTCCTGGCCCAGCCCCTAGGAGTGTGGGTGGACAGGCCTGGGTCACAGGGGTGGTCTCCTCAGGCTTGGCTTCAGGCCCACAGCCCAGCCTCCAGGTAAAGCGACTCATTGTTGGGGCTGGGAGGCACAAAGTGGCTGGGCAGACTGGGGGCTGAGGTGGATGAGGGGCACAGAGCATGATCACAGCCCATATGGCCAGGCTGGAGTCATGACCCCACTTGCAGATGATGTCACCCCTCCTCTGGACCCAGGAAGCAGGTTACCTGCTGCAGCAGCCCAAGGGCCCACCAGCCCCTCCAAACCCTTCCCCTTGCTCCCGGCACCCCAGGGGGCAACAGGACCCCTTCCACCACTGCGCTAAGGGCAGACAGGAGCTGCGGTGTCTCGGTTCTGATCTGTGCCTTGGGGCCTCTGTTTCCCCCTGTTTCCCCCAATCCGGTGGGGCGACTCGAGCCCTCTTACCACCCCAGCCCTCTATTAAGGGTCATCGCAAGGAGAAGGAAACTGAGGCAGGGACTTCCTCCCCGACAGACGCCTCCCCTCCCTTTCCAGACCCGCCCCCCACAACATCTGGCGCCCGCCAGGCAGCCGGGGGGCACCTGGGTCCGCCCACCGCAGGTGGGTGGGGTGCCCGGCGGTCTTCCCTACCCCGCGGCCGCGGAAGGGAAAGAGACTGTCCCGCGCAGGCAGCGGGGGTTAGGGGCGCCGCCTGAGCTGGAGCCCAGCCCGCCTCCGGCCTCACTCACCACGTTCGGCGCCGCTCCGCGCCAGCGCCAGCCGCAGGCTCAGGGCCAGGCTGAACGCCGTCCAGGGCAGCATCGCGCGGCGGGAAGGGGCGCGCTCGGCCTCCGCTCGCCCTTCGCTCGCTCGGGGACTGCAGGGCGCGCCGCCGCGCAGGCCGGCCCCGACCCCGCCCCCGGGAGGCCCCGTCCCCGAGGCCCCGTCCCCGAGGCCCCGCCCCCGGTGCGCACTCACCCAGCGTGCGGAGGCGCACAGGCTCCGGGTGGCGGGAGGCGTGCGCGCGGAGAGACCCGGGCGGGTAGCGACACGCCGCGCTCACGGCGGTGCGACCGCGGCACACGCGCGTGGGCGTGCACAGACACAGACACTGCAGCTCTCTTTCCTGGTTGGGAGGCTTCGGGGTCCCCACTGCCCCCTGCCCCCAGCCAGGAGCAGAGCAGGGAGCTCTCAGGCTGGACTCTCACCCCCAGGCCCACCGCCCGTGACCCCACCCCCAGTGCTTTGAGTCTCTGAAATCAGGCCCAAGGGAAACCCAGGGGGTGCGATGGGGTGGGGGTGACACTGAGAACGAGGTCACCCTAGCAAGGCTGGGGCCCTGGACTCACCTCTACCACGGGGTTGAGAGAGGGGTAGGTGTTGTGGTCTGGACACTTAGAAAGGAAAGGGGGCATTGGGAGGGTGCAGGGGTCTGAAGGGGAGCTTCCCCCACCCCTGCCTGGCTGCTTGGAGGAAGAGGCATAGGAGCTGGGAATGGCTGGTTTAGGCCCTGTCCAGTGTGACCATGCTGGAACTATTGTTGTCCCCATACACCCTGCCCAATGAGGGTCCCAGGGTTTGACCCGAGATCTGACTCCAGGACCAAGGGCAGGCCCCCAAGCCCTCTGGAGGGACCCATTAGCACCAGGGGTGGCTGACAGTTCGGTAGTCAGCATCCTGAGGCCGCTCAGGCCTTAGGGCAGATGGCCTCTGCTTGGGCAGGAGCTGAGGGTCCAGATGACGTCTCTCACTATTTTTTCTTTTCTTTCTTTCTTTTCTTTTCTTTTTTTTTAAGATTTTATTTATTTGACACAGAGACAACCAGAGAGGGAACACAAGCAGGGGAAGTGGGAGAGAGAGAAGCAGGCTTCTTGCTGAGCAGGGAGCCCGATGTGGGGCTCAATCCCAGGACCCTGGGATCATGACCTGAGCCGAAGGCAGATGCTTAACCCACTGAGCCACCCAGGCGCCCCAAGGTCTGTCACTACGAAGACCACTGGCTTCTCCCAGCCACTACTCTGTGGAGCTGGGCGGGCACAGGTCCCCCGGTGCAAGGTGGCAGGGGTGTCTATGCCAGGATGTCCCCTCCCTTCCCCCCTCCCCAGGAGGGTGCTCAGCAGCACGGACATGGGACTCAATGGTGTTCCTTCCTCCCTTTATGGCAGGTGAGACACTGTGTGGGACGGGCTGGAGCTCCAGCTTTGCCTAAAAAAGGAAGTGGCTCAGCCGGGCTGGAGGATCCGGGCCGGAACAAGCGGGAACTGTGTCCCCGCCGCTCCCACCCCCTCGAAGGGAGTCTTGGCACGGCAGTGCTGGCTCAGCTCCACAGACCTCAGGCCTCCGCTGGGACCAGAAACGGCCTGGTGTTTCTGCCTGGGCCCTATCGTTGGGGGGGTGGTGCTCAATAGGCTTGGGCCCTTGAAGTCCAGGGTATGCCTCCCAGGGGGGCCTTGTCTGGCCCCCGGCCCCAAAGCACACAGGCTGACCGGGACCGCTGCTGCTGCTGGGGACAGTGAGTCGAGGCCATGGCCAAGCAGAAGCAGCTGGAGGCTGGGGCTCCCACCCAGAGCCGACCCTGGGGACCCTGGGGTGGAACCACCCAGGTAAATGTGAGCAAACACTTCTCGGTTCATCCTCTGTCTCACTGGGCACCCCCGGCCAGGGGCGGGTCCTGGGCCATGGCAGACCGCCCTGAGGCAAGGCTAGAGCTCCCCAGCTTGGCCCCCAACTCCCCGTGTAGCAGGCAGGCCCCAGCCCCACTTCGGCCTGTGCTGCCGGGCCAACAGGGAAGTTTCCGTCCCTTCTGGAAAAACTGAGCGGGTCTTCTTGGCCATGACTCAGGCCCTCGAGGAAGCAGCTGCCCTCCTCCCTCCGGCCTCTCCGTGAGACGGAGAAAGGATGAGAGGCCCCGTCTTCGGACCGGTCTGCCACGGCCTCTGCCCAGACTTGGCTGAGCTGGCCACCAGCCCTGGTACATTCTTCCTCTGCTCTGCTCTGTCATCCCTGCTGCTCGCATGGAGCTGACCTCTCACCTGACCCCTGGGAGGGCTCCTCCACCCCCGCAGTGTGGCCAGCTTTAGTCCCAGCCCCTGCTAGGCCCTGAGGCTTTCCTCCTGCATCAAGGCGAGTCTCATTCCAGCACCCTGCACTTCCCCACAGGAGACTCAGGCAGAGGGAAGGTTCCCAGGGAGCATGGGGGTCAGCCAGGAGTGTCATAGTCGGGGTCAGGGCTGGGCTTGAGGCAGACGCCAGAGGAAGCACAAATATAATTATCCGGAAACCTCCTCCCTCCCCTAGGCTCACCCAGCCCCTGCCTTGCCGCACGCCCCCCCAGGCTGAGAGCCCCAGAGCATCACTTCCTGGTGCTGGCCCACCCCACCCGCTGCTCCACCGGCAGGTGGAGGGGCTTCTGTGAACCCTGGGGACACGGCTCTCTGAAGGCCCTGCCCCCACAGGGTCCACGGGAACACTCCTCCTCCACACAGTCCAGGCCTCTGCAGAGAAGAAGGGCCCTTTGTCCCCAGCTCACTGTGGTCATGTTGACCCTAGGGAAAAGGGCAGCTCCCGGGGCCTCTGACCCCAGCCTGAGGGCACTCTGGGCCAGAGGGGCAGAGCAGTGTGTATCCCCACCCTACCCAGTGGGGTGCCCTGTGCCTGTTTTTTACATGTTTGTACCTCACATATGCACACACTGGGAGCACCGAAACAGGAACAGGGGCTGCTGTGGTCCTGAGGCAGGGTGTGGGACAAGCCAGAGGCCTTCAGAACCCACCCCACAACAGGAAGGGGGGCAAAGGGAGGGGGGCCGGAGCAGCAGGGCCCAGAGGTCCCTTCGGCCCCCCGCCCAGCTGCCACACCCACACATCCTTCTAGACTCCACCTGCCTGTTTATGGTCAGGGACATGCCAGCATCCAAGGGTCTGGAGGTCTGTGCTCTCATGGCCCAGGAGCCGAGGCCTGCCCTCTGTGGTCGCAGAGCTGGCAACAGCAGAGCGGGCAGCCTGGGCGAGGGACGGGTACCACCCTGCCTGCCTTCATCCCATCAGGTCTCTGCAAGGACCAGCCAATGCCATATTCTGCTCTGGGGACACGGAGACCTGTCCTCCAAGGGCTGCCAAGCTGGATGGGGGACAAGCAGGCGTGCCTGCCAGGATGCATGTCTACTTATTTTCCCTGACAAGGGTGGGGCCATGTCAGACCGGGTGGGCACGAGCTGCAGAAGTGCCGAGACCCTAGGGAGGCAGCTGACTGGTGCGTCAGGACAGTAAGGAGGCCCGGGGTGGGGGTGGGAGGGGGCAGAGAGGAAGGCCAGCATCCAGACTCCTGCGTTTCTGGCCTGTAGAGACCTGAATAGTGGGCCCCTCCTGAGGTGGGACCCCAGCTTTGGTTCCCTCTGCTGGAAACGTCTGCCACAGGGAGCTGATCACCAAACCCAGCCCCAGCCACAGGCACAGTCCAGTCCAGTTTGGATTGGTAAATAGAGACTGGGGAGGGACAGACCAGTACCAACACTTTGGTGGGGGGCTCCACAGAGGTCAGGGTGGCGCCCAGGGGGCAGGAGGGAGGAACTCAGCCCTCAGAGGGAATGAACTGGCCTAATCTCCCAGAGCCCGGCTAGCTGCCCCCAGGGTCTGAGGGTGACACCTGAGCGCCCATCGCAGGAAACACTCTGAATGAATAACTGACCTGGGGCAGGTCAAGGAAGCTGACAGAGCCTCATCTCCCCATCCGTGGGGTTGGGACGATGACTCTGCCTGGGGTGTTCGGGAAGCAGACAGACGGATGCGTGCACATCTACACAAACATGCAGTGCACACACATACGCACACACACACACTGTGGAGACCCCATGACCAGGTACACTTACAGGTCAGGGGCCTGGGCACCTGGGAAAAAAGCATTTGTTGCCCAAAATAGAGATCTGTGCCTGTCCCAGCAGTAATCCAGTGCCTCAGCCCTTGGCTTTCCCAACCGACCCTCTAAAAGCAGACCACTCGGCCCCTTCGTTACTCCCCACTCACCCACCCCCTCGCAGGTGCTCCTTTTGTGAGTGGGTGGGGGCAGAGCTGGGGCTGAGGCAGCTCATCCCTGGGGTCAGCTGGAGGCCATGCAGGGCCCCTGGGGCCGGCCTGGGAAGTTGGGACACACCTTAGGAACCCCTGAGGTTTTGGCAGCTGAGTTCCCCGCCAAGGCCCCCGCCCCGCCAGGCCCAGCTGTTGTTTGGATGACACTGGGGCCAGAAGGATCCTCGGGAGGGCCCTCATCTCCGAAGCCTAGCCAGAGCCTGCCCAGCCTCGGGCAGGAGGGGAAGGAAGGCGACTTCAGACCAGGGGAAGCTAGCCTTGGGCGCTGGGCAGCAGGCCAGGCTCCTGTCTGACTGGGCGCAGACAATTGGAAAACCCCAAGAACTCCTGTGGGATCTGAGCCGGCCACACACTGCACTCTGCCCGAGGCCACAGAATGAGCCTGAACCCGGAGCCCCGATCTTCAGGCACATCTGAGTCCTGACCCTGCTGCTCACACACAGAGCCTTGCCGGCAACAGAGGATGCTAGATCCTTGAAGAGGCCTTTCGGCTACCCCTAGATTCTGGACAAATTACAAGAAACACATTTTTGGTTTGCTTTTTTTTTTTAAGTAATCTGGGGGCCCCTGGGTGGCTCAGTCAGTTAAGTATCTGCCTTTGGCTCAGGTCCTGGGAGGGGCTGCGTCAGGTCCTGGGATGGGCTCCTCTGCTAGCAGGAAATGGGCTCCTCCCTCTGGCTTGTGCTCTCTTGCTCTCTCTTTCTCTCAAATAAATGAAACCTTTAAACAAATAAATAAAAGCAAATGTCTTTATAAAAAAAAAATCTGTACATCCAACGTGGGGCATGAACTCACAACCCTGAGACCAAGAGTCACAAGCTCTAAACACACACACACAAAGAGTCACACGCGCTGCTGACTTGAGCCAGTCAAGTGCCCCAAGAAATATATTTTTAATATACTGCTGGGCTTACAAATAAGTAAGTATCTTCGAGGCTCCCCCCAGATTAAAAGCACTAAGAATACATAAATAAATAAACAAACGCGGGAAGATGAAAGGAAACAGGTGGCATAGCAGGGAGGCCCGCGATACAAGGACGGCGACGCGCACCTGCCATTACCGAAGCCCGCACAGGACCGAACAGGGCCCAGGTAGGGCCGCCTCGCAGAGGGACTCCTTCCCGGAGCAACGTGTCCCCAGGATGTTCACGGGTGCGGCGGACAGGGGAAAGGAGCCACCGCTCAAAGAAACAATACACTATCAGTGAGCCTCATCGGAAACAACAAATAACGGATTTGGACCCCCCGCCCCGAGAGAGTAAGACGTCGTGGCCGTCAGGTGTTACAAAGTAACCATGTGGGAACTGCTCCCACATGGAATCTGGAAGCAAAACTGGAACCTAAAAACTGAACGTGCGTGAAGAGACCGTCACAAATGACGGGATTTGAACAAGAATTAACCTCTAGATACGCTAATAAAAGAACAAAATTAAGTGACCGTGTTAATTGGCAGATTAGACTTCACCCAGCAACTAGGGAAATTTGGAAGAAGACGAAGAAACTGGCCAGAGCGCAGGACAGAGTCCGGGAGTCGGAAACAGCGAGCGAGCAGGAGGCCCGCGTGGACACACGGCCGCGGGCGTTTCCGCGGCGCAGCGGCCGGCGGCGCGGGGCGGTGCGGGGCGGCCGTCGGAAGCGCGGCCTCCGCTCGGGCGCGTCTGGCGCCACCTCGCGGCCGCCCCACGCGCTGCGCACGGAGCCCCGCGGGTCTCCCGGCGGGCACCCGGACGCACGCCTCGAGCGCGCAGGCCCGGGCTCTCTCACGGGGCGGGGCGGGGCGGAGGCCGGGGGCCCTTCCCGGTCTCGGGAGTCTCGGCCCTGGAGAGGCCTCCAGGGCTCACACCCAGGCGCAGAGCGGCTCGTCGCCGTCGGGGTGGCGTCCCACTCGCCCACGGTCGCGGCGCCCAGCGCGGCGGCGGGCTCCAGGGCTGCAGGCTTCGGGCGGCAGCAGCGCGCGGAGGCGCCGAGCCAGGCGGGCGCGGGCGGCCGAGGCAAGCACGAGCAGCGGAGGCAGCGAGAGGAAGCCGAGGACGATGAGCGCTGCGGAGCCCCTGTCCGAGAGGAGCGCGCGGCACGCGGGGCGGGGAGCCGGGTGAACCTGCGGGCGAGGCGAGCGGTCGGGCGGGGCGGGGAGCGGCGGGGCAGCAGGTGGCCCCGCAGAGGCCTGGGGGCGGGGCCCGGAGGACGGACGGGGCGGGACTGCGGCCCGGGGGCGGGGCCGAGGCGGGGCCTGGTAAGGGACCGGGGGTGGGAGCAGGCGGACCAGGCGGGGCGCGGGGTCAGTGCGGACCCAAGGGCTGGGGCCTGGGCGCGGTTCTGAGGCCTGGCGGAGGGATGTGGCTGGGGCCGCCTAGGGCCAGGCATTTTTGAGTCATGAACGGGAGATCCGGGGCCCAAGCGGCAAATGCCCCGCGTAGGAGTCCCTTGAGGGGAGGCTCAGAAACTTGTTCCCAGGTTGTCTCATCGCGGCTTTCCTCCCGTCTCTGCTTTCCCGGGGCCCTTACCCACGTGGGCATCGGACCTCGAGCTCCTCCCCGTGTCTCTCCCCAGAAGGCACCACCGTCCCTCCCGCGGCCCCGTCTTCATCCCCCTGCCCACCACCCCCGCCCCCCGCCCTATGCCTACAGAAGAAGGACCCAGGGCATGGCTACCTACATGCTTGCCCCTTCCTTAGACCAAGCCATAGCCCATTCCACACGGGGAAATCCAGCCCAGGGCAGGAAGGGTCTCCTAGTAGCTGTGAGGGCGGGTAGGGGCGGTGCCCTGGAGAGCTTTGGCCATATCTTCACCTTCTCTTTCTGGAACCCCCCTCCTCTTCCCATCATGCCCAGCTGTCCAGGCCCTGGTGGCCCTTGGTACAAGGCTAGGGGCCTCCCAAAGGGAGGGAGCTGTCCGCTCCAGTGACAAACAAAAGCCCTTTTTCTGTGGCTGCGGGGGGGGGGGGGGGGTTCCTGGCAGAAGAAGGGGCTTTCCAGGGAGGGGCACATGTGTCTCTGGGACAAGGGGGCCATGCTGAAAGGGCGAGATTCACCTACAGCCCAGGGCCCTGCAGTTCTACAGGACACCCCCCCCAGTCCCGAGGGCCCCAGCCAGCCCCCACCCTGCCCATGGAGGGCTTAGCTCACCCTCGAGTGGCACAGGAATCCCAGGTACACGATGGCAGCTGAGGGCAGCAGCATGAGCAGGAACACTGTCGAAGGCAGCAGCAGCTGCAGCAGGAGCCCCGCCAGGGCCTGGCCAGGCAGCAACAGGGTCCCCAAGCCGTGGACAGCCAGGCCTACCCATCCTGGGGACATCAGGGCTGAGGCCTGGCAGTCAGGAAGTCTTCCTGGCAGCATGGGTGCCGTGTCAGAAGTGCCCCCTCCCTCATCCTCCTCCGTCTTCTTCTCCTGTTCACTCATGCTTTCCCAGGCAGCAGGCCTGGGGGGTTCCCAGCAGTAGTCAGACGGCAGGACCTGGGTGCCCAGGTCAGACTCCCACCCAGAGCCCAGCAACCATGGTGGACCCAGATGGAGGACAGCGCCCTGGCCCAGGTAGGCCCAGCTCTAACCATCAGTCTCCAGGGCCACACCACTGCCTCAGTTTCCCCTGCTGCCAGGCCGGGCCTCTCTCTGCCAGGCAATCGCAGCTCCAGCCCTGACTAGTGTCCCCAGCCAGCTCCTGTGTGTTCTGGTCAGGGCTTGCACAGCTGTCCTGGCCCTGGGGCCCTCCTCCCTCCCGGGCCCGCCCTCTCCCTGCTTCCAGCTCCCCCACACAACGACTTCATTTCATAGGTCGTGACTCTGACAACGGCCCCATCAGTGGCTGCTGTATTGAGGTGGCCACACACCGCACTTCCCAGCCTTCGTCCCTGCTGGTGCTCTCATCCCAAGCCTGGCCTCCCTCAGCCTCAGTAAAACAGGGGCAACACTGGGTGCGTAGAATGTGGGGCTGCTGAGAGGCCACGTGAGCAATGCACATGAACTGCTTAGTGGAGGACCCAGCATACAGTAGGTGCTCAATAACAGAGGCTACAAATACAAGCATCCTTTGTGTTGGAGTCTCATCCATCCTGAAGACAGAGAGATGGTGCATTCCATTATTTCAACAGGTGAGAAAGCCTTCCGTGACCTTCCGTAAACCCCAACTTATTCCCCCAAATATCACTGAAATGCTCTTAACTCCCAACAGACATTAGGTTTTTCTTACATAGCACACAGCATTTTATTTTATTTTATTTTATTTTATTTTATTGTTTAAGATTTTATTTGACAAGAGGGCAACAGAAGCAGAGTTGGTAGGGGGGAGAAACAATCTTGCCTGCTAGGCAGGAAAACCAGCTCTTTACCAAGACCCTGGGATCATGACCTGAAGGTGGAAGCAGACACCGAGGACTGAGCCACGCAGGCGTCCCAGAGGCCTTTACACCAGGTGAAGCAGCATGCTTTGTATCTTGTCAGAGAGATAGTATAGGACTAACCGAGAAGTCTGCAAAAACTTCAGCCAACTAGAAAGGCACACCTTTGAAATGGAGGCAAAGTCAGAGAGGTCGGTCCTAGGCTTTACTAAAAGCTGCTAAGGACCAGATTATGGAAAAAAACTCCCAAGTTGCAAAAATGCCCCATGAAGCTGGAGAAGGGGGCAGGACAGACGGACGTGGGATGTGGGCCGCAGCTCAGACCCCGGACCTGGAGGTAGGAGGCTGGAGAAATCATGGATGCCACATTGAGTGCATTCACCAAAAGCCCTTGCTTCCCAGTCGGTCCCAAGAATGCAGCTGCTTTCCTCAGACAAGGTAGCAGGCAGCATTTTATTTTATTTTATTTATTTATTTTTTTTAAAGATTTTATTTATTTATTTGACAGAGAGAAATCAGAAGTAGGCAGAGAGGCAGGCAGAGAGAGAGGAGGAAGCAGGCTCCCTGTTGAGCAGAAAGCCCGACGCGGGGCTCGAACCCAGGACCTGGGATCATGACCTGAGCCGAAGGCAGCGGCTTAACCCACTGAGCCACCCAGGCGCCCCTTATTTTATTTTTTTTAAGATTTAATTATTTGACAGACAGAGATCACAAGTAGGCAGAGAGGCAGGCAGAGAGAGGAGGGGAAGCAGGGCTCCCCGCGGAGCAGAGAGCCCGATGCGGGCTCCATCCCGGCGGGATCCCGGGACCCTGGGATCATGACCTGAGCCAAAGGCAGAGGCTTAACCCGCCCGCCGAGCCCCCCAGGCGCCCCATCACGCGGCCACTTTAAGCAGCGCTTGCCTGACTAGCTGACACTGGGAGCAGCTCGCCTGCGTGGGGGCTGAATGAGCGAGCTGGAGGGCGCCAGGTAACGGCTCCCTCTCACGCCTCCCCCACCACGGGCTCTATTGCTATCCAGCTTTTCCTCTGACGCTTTCCAGCACGTGCATTCCCTGCAGACACATGTGGATGGTGGATGGCGGCGGTCATGCACGGCGGGGCGAAGGCATGAAGCCTAAGGCAGGCCCCGGTGAGGAGGTGAGCAGAGGCTCCCTGCAGCCCACGCCAAGCCCTGTTGCCCGACATGCGCGCGCGCAACTGAATTATTTTCCCAAGTACACACGTATCCAGATCTTATACTAGCTGTTTGGTTATTCACATACAAATAATTTAGGGTAGAAAACGGAGCAAATGATAACGTTCAGGCGCAGAGTTTGGGTGGAGAGGGTCCCAGTCTGCTTCTCACAAGCTCCCGCCTCTGCTCACATCCCTCTTGCGTTCGTTCAGTCACGGAGCAGACACTCGCCAAGCTCCCTCAGTGGGCCATGACTGCTCTAGGTTCTGTGGACCCAGTGGTAAAGGAGGCCAGCGTGGCCTCTGCTTTGTAGGGAACAGCTCTGCGTGGGGGCCCCGGCAGGCCTGCGTGAATCCATACCTGAGTGAACGGCAGGGCTCTGGGCTGCGGCAGAAGGTGGGACCAGCCATGCAGCCGGCTCCCACGGATGTCCGCCTGCAGAAGGGGCAGGTTCTAGGCTTCCCTGGCTCTTAGGGGGGTGTGAGATTTTCCACCAGGCCTCCCAGGGGTCAGCAAAACATGGATGCAGCTTTTTGGCAAGAGCCCCCCTGTCCCCCCACCCCTCCAGCTCACCCCCTCACCCCCTGCCATTTGTCAAGGGAAGCAGGGAACAGACAGCTTTGACCTCTTGATTCTGCTGGCTGCTTAGGTGGTAAACTATGACCTGAGCTGAAGGCGGGCGCCCAGCTGACTTAGGCACCCCGGGGAGGCGACATTTGAACAGAGTGACTGCGGCTCACGGGATAGAGTCCATGCGGCTTGGGGGGTGAGATGGGGCCACTCAGCCCCTTGCCAGAGATCCACCCTTTGGATCTGGCACCTGGAAAGGCTGCTCTCAGGGTGGGGGGGAGGGGAAATGTCAGTGTTCTGCTAACACTCTAGAGCAGGAGCTGGGCCTGGGGTGTGGTAAGGCAGGGCCTTGAGGACACCTCATTCCTGGGAGTGTGTGCAGCGATTGGGGACTCGGGGCTGGGAAAGACACGATCCCCCGCCCCAAGCCATGTTGCTTCCCAGTGGACAGTCACAAGAGGCAGCTAGGCTATACCGCCCTCTCCTGTCCGGGGTCTGGACAGGTGGCCTTACCCAGGGACTGGGGATGATAAGGTAGTCTCCGAGTCAGGGCCCCCGAATTGAGGTGACGAGTCCTGGAGGCCTTACTCGGGCCCTCTCCTGAAGCGCCACTTCCCATCCTCTGGACTTGACTCTCCTAAAAATCCTTTGTCTGACTCCCTCCTCCTGGTGTCCAGGCAGGTCTCTGCCCCTTTCACAGCCTCTGCTGAGTTGCCTCAACCTGCCCTCAAGGGGCTTCCTACTCCCCACAGTGTCATCCAGGCTGCTCGGTGTCCGTGGTCAGTCTTCTATCCTGGCGTGGCCTCTGTGTGGGGGGACGGGCCCCACTTACCCTGTCCGTTTCCCCAGCCTGGAATCAGGAGAGAAGCCAAGCTCTAGCCACAGAGGTGGTCTTAGCCAGCAGAGACAGGAGTGGGGGGAGGAGCAGGGCCTGAGGGAGGGACCCGAGGGAGGCACGTGGGTGCCTCTCTGGGGCAAGTCAGGGCACAGCAAAGGCTGTGGGCCTGTTTCGGCCTGCCTGGCCTTTGTCTCCCTGGAGGGAGGCCGAACCAAGAGCCCTGGCACTTGGCAGGGAAGGAAAGGTGCTGGGGCAGGGGCTGCTGCCAGCCCACAGGGTGTGTCTCCTTAAGTTGCTGCGTCAACAGTGCAGAGAAGCGACCCGTAGGCGGGCCCAGGAGACCACACGGTATCCCCACCTACAGCTGCAGCCCCAGCCTCCCAGCTTCTGGAACCGGGCAACCCACCTCCACACTTTCAGAAGAAGTGTCATGAGAGGGCTATCAGGCTGTGGCTTGCCTGGGAACCGCGTGGAGAGGACCCCAACTGGAGGACAGAGCCCAGGGTGGACCCCCTCGAGGGCAAACGGGGAGTTAAACCCTTCAGAAGGCTAAGTGGTAGTAGTCTGGTCCCTTGGGGAGATGATGGGCTGGGGACACATGGGCTGGGGATGGCCAGTGGCCTCCAGTAACCATGAGGGATTCCTGTTCTTCACAGATGGACTCCAGGAGCTCCCAGCCAGGGGAGCAAGACGTGACAGAGGCAGGGGCTGCCCAGGAACTTCGGTGGGTGGAGCTGGGCTCCGAGGGCTCCGAGGAGGCCCTGGGAGCCCGGACAGAAGGTCCCAGGGCCCCGCAAGCCGGGGGGCGCCTGCTGCAAGCCGTGTGGTGGGGTCATCTGGGCCTGGCAACAAAGCTACTGCGTCAAGGGGCCAGTGTGGAGGAGAGGTGAGCCCCGGGGCGGGGTTGGCAGGGGTCCCTTGTCTGGGCAGGGCGGCAAGGGCCCTTCCACCTGCGCCTTTGCCCCCGTGCGTGCCCCCCTGGCTGCCCACAGGGACCACACGGGCAGGACCCCGCTCCACCTGGCCGTGCTGCGCGGCCACGTGCCCCTGGTGCGTCTCCTGCTGCGGCGCGGGGCGGCGGTGGCAGCTGCCGACCGAGCGGGGCGCACACCGCTCCACGAGGCCGCCTGGCACGGGCACTCGCGGGTGGCCGAGCTCCTTCTGCGGCGCGGGGCCCCCGCGGCGGCGCGCTCGGGGGCCGGCCTCACGCCACTGCACTGGGCCGCGGCGCTGGGCCGCACGCTGCTGGCGGGGCGCCTACTGGACGCGTCGGGACCGGGCCCCGCGGCGGCGGACGCGCGCGGCTGGACGGCGGCGCACTGGGCGGCCGCGGGCGGCCGGCTGCCGGTGCTGGAGCTGCTGGCGGCGGAGGGCGCGGGCCTGGACGGGGCCCTGACCGTGGCGGCCGCGGCCGGGCGCACGGCTGCGCTCCGCCTCCTCCTGGCGCGCGGGGCACGGGTGGACGCCCGGGACGGCGTGGGGACCGCAGCGCTCGGCGTAGCGGCGAGCCTGGGCCGCAGGCAGGTACGGCTCGGCCTGGCTGCGGGGAGGGCGCGGGCGGGCGGGCTCCTCCGCCGGATGGAGCGGGACGGGAGGGAGGGCGGGCGGCTGTCGGGGGTCTGAGAGCGGCCTCGCCATTTGTAACCTCTCTTGGGAGGCCGGTGAGGATGCCTGGCCCGGCATTCGGACTTCCTCCTGGTGACTGGCAGCAACAAATACGGAGCAAGCACCAGGGCCGTCCTGGAGTCCAGCAGGCCCCCAGGCAGCCGGAAGGGAGGCCGCGGGCTGCTTAGTCTTGGACTTTGTAGGAGGATGGAGGAGGAGCCCTCCTCCATCTAGGAGCCCTCCAGGACTGCAGAGGTGCTGGCCCATCGTCACCCAACGGGGAAGCAGCATTGAGAAAGCGGCTGTTGGGTAGGAGAGGCCAGATGAGATGTGGGTCAGGGCCAGCATCTGCCCTCTCCTTCCCTCTTCTAGGACATGGAGGTGCTGCTTGACCACGGGGCAGACCCCAACCTCAAGGACAGGCACAGTCGCTCTGCACTCCACAGGGCTGCTGCCGGGGGACACCTGCCCGCTGTCCAGCTGCTAGCAGCCTGGGGAGCAGGGGTGGATGCTCGCGACTCGCTGGGCCTCACACCCCTACACCATGCTGCTCGGGGAGGCCACACAGAGGTCGCCAGCCACCTCCTAGACAGGGGAGCGCAGGTCAATGCTGCTGGATGGCTCCACAACACCCCCCTTCACCTTGCCCTGGAGCATGGCCACGGCCCCACTGCAGAGCTTTTGCTGAGCCGAGGAGCTAGCCCCACCCTGAGGACACGATGGGGTGAAGTGGTCCAGGACCTGCTGTCTGAGGGGGCCTGCCCCAGGCACTGCCCACCCTTTGCAGAGAGCAGGAGTGGGAGGGGCACAGAGCCCCAGAGGCCCCGAGCTGGACAGAAGTCTTCCGGCTCCCACAGTCTTCGGTGTGCACCAGTTCCTCTCTTTTGGACCGAGCCTGCCTGCCTCCCTAAGGGGAGGACAGCAGAGAGGTTCCCAGAAGAGAAGGGGGGCAGTGACTTGAGCTCCACTAATGGATCTGGGACTGCTCCGCAGCCCCCTGGGATCACGTCTCCCCTGCAGCTGCAGCCTCCTCCACACTCTGCTTTAGCAGAGACTGAGTCGTGGCAACAGATTTGACTGAAACCTGACAGTCTCCCGTGTCCACCATGGGGTTGTCACCCTCAGCTGTTCTCGCTGTGACATGGGGACGTTCTTACTGTGTTTCCTTCATTATATCTGGTATTTGCCTGTTGACACCCATTTTTTTTTTTTTAAAGATTTTATTTATTTGACAGACAGAGATCACAAGTAGGCAGAGAGGCAGGCAGAGAGAGAGAGGAGGAAGCAGGCTCCCTGCCGAACAGAGAGCCCGATGTGGGGCTCGATCCCAGGACTCTGGGATCATGACCTGAGCCGAAGGCAGAGGCTTTAACCCACTGAGCCACCCAGGCGCCCCGACACCCATTTTTTTAAAAAGATTTTATTTACTTGAGAGAGAGAGAGCATAGAGGGGAGAGGGTTAGAGAGAGAAGCACACTCCCTACCAAGCAGGGAGCCTGATGCGGGACCCCATTCCAGACATCCAGGATCATGACTGCCGAAGGCGGTTGCTCAACCCACTGAGTCCCCCAGGTGCCCTGTTGGCATCTCTTTATCACAGGGCTGAACTAATGGGCACAGTTGTTCACATCACCCGTGATCCAGGGCCCGCTCTCAGAACTGCTGTCTTCCCTCTCACAAACCCAGGTGATACGCCCCCATCCTAAATTATCTAAGGTCAGGTACCGGACAACAGGGACAGGCACTATGCACCAAGGACCACTGGGATTCTCAGACAAGCCGAGGCAAACTGTTTCCCTTGCCCTGCCTTGTCTTCCCTGTGGGACCCCAAAAGAGGCTCTGGCCCAAGCTTTCTGCTCCTTCTTGCTTCTGGCTCCAGAGGACACTGGTGCCTCTCTGCATGGCACATCCTCTCCTCGCAGGAAATGCAGGTAGTAAAGAATGTTCTTCAATGATGTCAGCCTCTCCCTGTCATTACTCAGCCATCTCTGTAAGTTAAAACTCCTGTGGCACAACTGAAACAGATGAACGGTTGTTTCTGACGACCCACTTCCGGATCCTCATAGAAAATCATCACCATATTTAATTTAAAACTATAGTTTTTCTGAGAGAACAGCTTTACGGAATGGATTTCATTTTTCAAAAGTGTGAGTTCTGCCAAATTTTTTTAAAAAGATTTTATTTATTTATTCATGAGAGACAGAGAGAGAGAGGCAGAAGGAGAAGCAGGCTCCCCACTGAGCAGGGAGCCAAACGAGTTGTGCCAAATTAGCACCTTGGCCCACAGGCCATGGAAATGCTTGGATTTACACCCAGGGTAACAGGAAGCCTTGAAGGAGTTTGTGTGAATGTGACATGGTCTGATCTGCTTAGAACTGGCCAAAAACACAGTGGATTGCTCCTGAGGAAAGGAGGTACAGGGAAGCCAGTGAGATGGTGGCACCTCAGTAGCAGGGGTTGGGATAAACAGGCACAATCAGGCTGATTCTGTGGGCAGAGTCCCTTGGACTTGTTGACGGGCTGGACATGGGAGGCGAGGTACGAGGGGATAACAGTGATTCCTAGTGAGACCTAGGCCTGAGTTGGGGGTGTCGGTGATAGACCTTTTACTCCATGGGGAGAGCAGACCCATAGGAGATGACAAGAGGGAAAAGGTGAGGGCTGGAATGACATCTTTGGGATCCTCACTGAGAATGGTCTCCAGAGGTGCAGGATGGCCCTACACCGAGCTGGCCAGCCCAGCCCATGGGCTCTACCTTCAAGGCACACCCAGCACCCAAGTGCCTCTCACCTCCTCCACTGGGTCCGCTATGGCCCACACCACCATTGGTTGCACATGGAACATGATGTTGCCACAGCCCAGCCAGCTCCCAGCCCAACTGGTCTCCCTGCCTGAGCCCTGGCCTCCCCACAGTCTTCCCTGAACAGCAGCTAGCAGCTCATTTAAAAAGTTGGCGGTGCTACTCTCCCACTCCAAATGTCCCCACTGACTCCTCCTTTCATGAAAGCAAAAACCAAATGTGGGATATTGTATTGCTCAGACGCCCCAGTGACCTCACCCAGCTCACATGTTCTACCGTGGGATCTCCTTGTGCCTCCTGTGAAAATTAGTAACAGAGGGGCGCCTGGGAGGCTCAGTGGGTTAAAGCCTCTGCCTTCAGCTCAGGTCACGGTCCCAGGGTCCTGGGATCCAGCCCCACATCAGGCTCTCTGCTCAGCGGGGAGCCTGCTTCCTCCTCCTCTCTCTCTCTGCCTGCCTCTCTGCCTACTTGTGATCTCTGTCAAATAAATAAATAAAATCTTAAAAAAAGAAAAAGAAAATTAGTAACAGAAAGCCTCACTAAAATGTAGCCGGGAGGCTCAGGGCAGAGGACGCCCTCCGGCCCCCCCACTCACCAACTGCTGACCCAACAAGAAGAGGGACTCTGCAAGTGGGTGTTACTTCCACTACCCCCAGCAGGAGGAAGAGAGGCTTTCCTCGTCTGCCCAGCAACAGCCCAGCCAATGAGGGGACTGTTACAACCTAGACAATGAGGCTGTCCAATGGGAGACAGCCATAATTTAGCCAGCGAGAGACTTTCACAGCCCAGCCGAAGGGAGGGGCACCTGGGTGGTTCAGCTGGTGAAGCCTCTGCCTTGGGCTCAGGTCATGATCCCAGGGTCCTGGGATGGAGCTCCACATCCGGGTCCCTGCTCAGTGGGAAGCCTACTTGTCCCCCTAACTGCCCCCACCCCCACTGTGACCTCTCAAGTAAATAAAAAATCTTTAATAAAAGAAGACAGCCACAATTTAGCCAATAAGAAGCCACTGTATTTCAAACTCTCAGTTTACTCCAGTGGACTTTTTGTTTGCAAAAGCCCTCCCAACCCCTAGTTTTCCTTTATAAAAATCCTCCCTTGGCTGTTCTCCTGGTATTGGAGAAGCTGGCTTGTCCTGGATTGCAATTCTCTTATTTTTAAAAAATTTTTAAAAAGATTTTATTTATTTATTTGACAGAGAGAGATCACAAGTAGGCAGAGAGAGAGAGGTGGGGAAGGAGCAAGCTCCCTGCTGAGCAGAGAGACTGTAGATCCCAGGACCCTGAGATCATGACCCAAACAGAAGGCAGAGGCTTTACCACTGAGCTGCGGGGGCGCCCGTGGCAGTTTTATTTGTAATGTTAACACTCCTACCTAGAACTGGAGTCCGTGTCTCTGCCCCTTGACACTGAATGAACTTTTTTTTTTTTTTAAAGATTTTATTTATTTATTTGACAGACAGAGATCACAAGTAGGCAGAGAGGCAGGCAGAGAGAGAGGAGGAAGCAGGTTCCCTGCGGAGTAGAGAGCCTGATGCAGGGCTCGATCCCAGGACCCTGGGATCATGACCTGAGTCGAAGGCAGAGGCTTTAACCCACTGAGCCACCCAGACGCCCCCTGAGTGAACTTTTGTGACTATTTGGGCTGCTGAAATGATGCTGTGTGGCTCTCCAGGGTGAGCCAAAAAGGCATAAGGCACCGGTATCACCTTGCCCTTCAGCCACCGTGTAGGGAATAACAGCCCTGAAACCACCACGCAGCGAGGAAGCCTGAATGCAGCATGTACCCGCCCATCTCTGAGGTTCAGCGGCCCATGGGACTCTCATCCGCCTCACTCCCACCACACTGGCTGTTTTCCTGTTCCTGACCACACCAGGTGTACTCCTGCCTCTAGTCCTTTGCACTGGCCGACTCCTCTGTCTGCTGCTCTACCCCACAGATACCAGCCTGTGCCGCGGTCACTTCCTTCACTCACCACCTCCCTCAGTGATGCTCTAACACTATTTAAAATTGTGCCCCCCAAAGAGAAAGCTCTTCTTCAGGTAGAATGCCAGGAAGTATGGGAAGAATGATGGGGTTAGAAAATCAATGAATGAATACAGATTTGCCAAGAAATAGGATATGTATGTTGTCTCAAAGTGTGGTGGCCCTGGAGGGGTGCTGCTCACCCGTTCCAGACTGCGCTTGTCATTCTGGTTCACGTCCACCACAGCACCTCTCAGTGGACTGTATACTTCTCCTGGTGGCCCCTGACACAGGCTGAGCATGCAAAGTTACTGGGGTCTCCCATTTCCGCCCAACACAAGGCATCCCTAATAGCAATGTTTGCTCACAACTACTGTGGGAGTTGACATGTTGTCTGACCTGCATCCTATCTGAGGCCCTCCCTGTCTGATCCAGATTCCTCTCTTTTTTTTTAAAGATTTTATTTACTTGACACTTAGAGCATCTAGACCACAAGCAGGGGGAGGGGCAGAGGAAGAGGGAGAAGCAATCTCCCTGCTGAGCTCCATCCCTGGACCCGGAGATCACCACCTGAGCCGAAGGGAGACGCTCAGCAGACTGAGCCACCCTGGTGCCCCCGCTTCCTCCCTCTCAACCAGACACCTCTGCACTCCTACCTCCATCTCAGGGTCTGCTTACAGGAAACCCTTAATGAGTTACAAAGTATTTCTCTACAAGATACTACTTACAAGCATAAAAAAGGTGGAGAAGCCTGGTAAACAAAACCTTGAGCCAAGTGGTCAAAGCTGACAGCACCCAAGTTGGGACACGCTGCCATCCGGCTGGATACTATGCACCGACAAAGACACAGTATAATTTCCGTAGTATTCTGCCAAAAATGTACAACCAGACTCTAATGAGGAAACATCAGATTCAAATTCAGACACCCTACAAAATAACTAACCTGTACTCTTGAAGAATGCTGGGATCAATAAAGAAAAAAAGAGGATTGGGGGCGCCTGGGTGGCTCAGTGGGTGAAGCCTCTGCCTTTGGCTCAGGTCATGATCTCAGGGTCCTGGGATCGAGACCCGCATCGAGACCCGCATCGGACTCTCTGCTCAGCGGGGAGCCTGTTTCTCCCTCTGCCTGCAGTTCCCCCAGCCTGTGCCCTCCCTGTCAAATAAAGAAATATAATCTTTAAAAAACAATGTTTAAAAAATGGTAGACCATTGGTGCTTTTGGGTAAAGTGCATGGGGAGTTCCATGAAGTAGTCTTGCAACTTTTCTGTCATTTAAAAAGTTACAAAGAAATTGCCCCCTCCCATTCTGCCCCCGACTTCGTTATTTTTCATTTTAACGGTAATACAGCGGTTAGGTGGTAAAACACAAAACTTACCATCTGAGGGATTCCGTTTTAGGGTAAGTGCTGCGGAAGCGAGCACGCGTCCTCACCATTTTCAAGTGCACAGTTCGAGGGTGTTCGGCACCTTCACACACTCAGGCAGCCTCAGCACAGCCGCAGAACCTTCCTGCCCCGCCGGGATCCCGGGCCCACTGGCGGCCGCGCCCCCCACCCCCCCCCGCCGCCCCCAGCGAACCCCCCTCCCCCCGCGCCCCCCGCGCCCCCCGCCCCCCGCCAGCGGACCCCGCCCCCCGCCAGCGGACCCCGCGCCCCGCCCAGCGGGCCCCGCCTCCCGCCGGCTTCCGTCGGTGCACCCGCCCGCTCTGCGCGTCCCAGACGAGCAGGACCGTTAGCGTCCATCTTCCTCACCGTACCCACCGCTCCGGACCGGCTCCTCTCTCCAGACTGCGAGCCCCGGCCCCGCAGGCGCAGCCAGCCGCCGGCGCAGGGGGAGGGCGCCCCGCCGCAGGCCGCCGAGCCCCCAAACCTCGGACCAGCCGCGCAAGGAACCCCGCCCCAGGACGCCCTTCACCTCGGAAGTCCCCGCCGGGCCCTGACCCGGAGGCAGTCGGGCGCGGCCGCCGCTTCCGCTGGAGGCGGGGCGGCGCGGCGCATGCGCGGCTGGGTAGAGCCGCCGGCCCGCGGGCGCCATGGTGTTCCTCACCGCGCAGCTCTGGCTGCGGAGCCGGCTCACTGACCGCTACTGGCGGGTACAGGAGGTGCTGCGGCATGCGCGGGTGAGTGGGCCGCGCACGCCCCGCGTCCCACCGCGTCTTCCCCCGGCCCGGAGCCCGCAGATGGGGCGCGGAGCCTGCGGGTCGCGCTGACCACCCTCCTTTCCCGTTCTCGACCCAGCACTTCCGCGGAAGGAAGAACCGGTGCTACCGGCTGGCGGTGCGAGCGGTGACCAGAGCGTTTGTGAAATGCACAAAAGCGCGAAGACTGAAGAAGAGGAACATGAGGACAGTAAGCGCGGACGGCCGCTCCCACCCCACCCCTTCCCCCGGGTCCCGACCCTCTCCGGCCCCCATCTCGGGGGATGGCTTCTCCGTCTGGTACCGCCCTCGGTTCCCCTGGTCCTCCCTCTCGCACTTCACGTCCGAAGCCGCCGCCAGTTCTGCCTGCTCCGCGGACGGAGTCTGTGCTAGCCGGGCTCTCTCCTGGGCCGGTGTGACAGCTCCTCGCCAGCGCCCCTGCTTCCACCGCCCTGCTCTCCGCGGAAGGCCCTGGGGTGGCCGTGCACACCCTTAACGAAAGCGACCCCAGCCGGACTCGGGTGCCGAGACCGCGTCTGTAACCTCTGGCCTTCGTCAGTGGCATTTTGTAAATATTGGCTGAACGAATGAGAAAGAGGGGATAATTCTGACCCCCCTTTTAAAAATATTTATTTGAGAAGAGAGAGTACAGCAGGGGGGAGCAGTAGGTAGAGTGTGGGGGGAAGCAGGCTCTCCGCTGAGCAGGGAGCTCGGTGTGGGACTCGATCTCAGGACCCTGGGGTCACGACCTGAGTGGAAGGCAGACGCTTAACCCACTGAGCCACCCAGGCGCGTAGTTTTGACCCTTTAAAGTCAGAAATGCCTCAGTACCTGCTGACCAGGGTCACAGCATGAGAAACTATCCCTGTGCCCAGTGGTCTCATGTGCAGGAGTGACCTCTGCATCCCAGCGCTGTTCTTCAAGCCTTCCATTCACTCAGAATGTTAGCCTGGTGCAGCTTCCTGCGACGCTGGGTCTGGTCAGTCCACCAGCGCACGGGACGACCTGTGGGCAGTGTCCAACAGCACACATGCGTGTGCTGCTGTTGGGAGCAGAGAACCTCAGGGTGGGCTGGGGTCCCCGTACAGCTGCGGCCTCATGTGAAAGCGCGTTAGCAATGCCGATTCTCAGGCCCACTACTGAGTCAGAAACTCGGCGGGGTCGGGGGGCGGCTAGAAATCTGTTTTAACAAACTCCTAATTCTTGTGCGTGTTCAAAGTTTAGAACCACTGAAGGGAGAAAACGGACTTGAGTACTGTCTTAAGATTGAGAAAATAATGACTTAATCCAAAGCCTTATTTTTATTTTTTAAAGTAATCTGTACAGTGTGAGGTTTGAACGCACAAGCTCCAGAGTTGCATGCTCTACCAGCTGAGCCAATCAGGTGCCCCATAATGCACCCCCATGTTTAACAGACCAGATCTATGTCACTCTGACTTACCCTCCCAGATTATTCTTGATTTCTGTGCAGTTTCCAGACCTGTTGCTGTGCCTGGAACTTACCCTCCTACTCCTTGCCAGGAAGGATCTCATGATGCTTCCCCTCCCCTCCCCTACAGTCCTGCTCTTTCCTCCAGACTGTGCTTACCTCCATCTCTGCAAAGCTTCCACCTCAAGTTTTTCATTCCCACCTGGTTGCACTGATCTCAGTGGCTGTTGTAATTCATCCACATGGATCCTTTCTGCACTGAACTCTGTCTGAGTCTTTTGCCCACTTTTGTATTCTCAGGGTCTAAGAAATGCTTTAAGGCCTGTGATTTTCCTCCTTATTTAGAAGGAAGCAGGCATTTGAATGAAGGGCATCAACCTTTGCTAACTGTACCGCAGGCTAGTGTGTGTGAAGAGAAACCACGGATTGTTCTATTTACTTTTGCAAAAAGAGTTTGACTTTTACTTGACTCAGAACCTTTGCTGGGAGGTGTGGACATAATGCACAGCTAGTTCTTAAGCATCTCAATGTTTTCTCATTCCAGCTCTGGATTAATCGAATTACAGCCGCCTCCCAGGAACATGGACTGAAATACCCGGCATTCATTGTCAATTTAATTAAGGTACGGTTGAGGATGTGGTCTTGTTGAGATGTTGAAATTTACAGAAAGTGATCCAGCTGACACAGTCCAGTACAACAGGCTGTGGAGTGTTGGCTCCTTGGCACGTTCTCAAGGTGGAGCTGTGGCAGGTTCAGGGACCCATTGCAAGTGCTTTGCCTTTGCCTCGCTGGTAGCAGAATTGGAAATAGGGCAGTGATACCAGGACATGAGCCCTTGTGTTTCCCCATCAAGAGGAAAGGGGCAGAAAACTTGGCTGGACCTTTAAAGTGTAATTTCAAAGTTTTGCACTGAAAGATTTCTGATGAGGTAGCAGATGAAGTTGAAACTCAGTCAGACAGCAGGGGGACTATTTTGGACAGGAGAGATTAAGCATGTGTCACAACATTTTGGTTAATTGTTGAATCTGGTGTTTATGCTAATCCCTCTTACATTTAAATTTTTTCTTAAAAAGGGGAGTGGGTGTTGTGCTTCTAGCCTGTCCCACATCCTGTCTTCGGTACTTTGCAAGTATCTTCATGCATGACTTCGTCATTGTACCAATGAGCTCGAGGCTCAGAGTGGACCTTGCCCCAGGTGGTAGAGCAGGAACCACCCTTGCACAGTTAGAGTTCACACGCAGGCTCATCCTACCTTTTGCTTTTCACGTTCGTCTGTTTTTGGAAGTCACATGTAGTTTTACTTGATAGATGATCTGGTGCTGTTCCCTTGTGGGAATCGAGAATACCCGCTTTTGTTCTTTACTCCTCTGCCGGCATCTCACATACTTTTCTGTGTCTCATTTTGTTGTTTCTTCAAGGGGGATTGTCATTTCCTCTTTGAAGCTGCCTTAGAGGTTTCCCCAGGCCAGCAGTCCTAGTTCTGTCGGGGTGACTGATGATCGATCGTTGACCCTAACAAGGTTCTGAGGGTCTACCAGGACCAGATGCTGGCATTCTTGCTCATGGGACATCACCTCCTGCAGGATGCCTTCCCCTTGTCCACGTTTACCTTCAGCATCCCGCTTGGATACATTTGCCACAGGCTCTCCACCTCCCCAGAGAGCCCATGTGTCCCGGGAGGGCAGAGACTGCCCTGGAGTGGGTGCTCAGCAGAGGAGAGGCTTCTGGCTGACTCAAACCATAGGACTCTTAGCTGCATTCAGTCTTGCTGCCTTTCACTGAAAGACATTTCTAATGCTGACACAGGCTCTGATTTTCTTCCCAGTGCCAGGTGGAGCTCAACAGGAAAGTACTTGCGGATCTAGCCATCTATGAACCAAAGACTTTTAAATCTTTGGCTGCTTTGGCCAAAACAAGGCGACAAGAAGGATTTGCTGCTGCCCTGGGGGATGGGAAAGAACCTGAAGGCATATTTTCCAGAGTGGTGCATTATCACTGAGGGGGACTCCAACACTGTCTGCCCTTTGCAGCCGAATGTCTTAGGAAGTTTTCTTTTTCCATCAGAGTAATTAAAATAGGGGCTAAGAATTATTTGTCACCAGTGTGTTTTATCACCAATTAGTAATCTACATTTTAATAATAGGTGTAAGAGCCCCTTTTTTCCCTCACTGCGACAGATCTAGACATCATACAGATTGTACAAATAAAGTTCGTGTGGTATTCAGAGCTTTGAATTGTGTTCTCTGGCATAAGCACACATGCCCTGGGTGCCCTGGGGGTGGGGGGGAGACTGCCAGGGTGAGGGGTCAGCTGGGAGAGCAGGAGCCAGATCGCTGAACTTTGACCTTGGCTCCCCCTTCAGGGCTGTGCTGGTAGCCTGTCCAGAACCCAAGCCTCCCAACCCCACACTGGCCCTGCCTATGCCTGACTTAAGTCTTCTACCCTTCTAGCCCTCCCCTGGTTCTCCACGCTACAGCAGAGACCTGGTGCTGAGCTCTCGGGCCACTCTGAGTCCCAGTTTCAATTTCTCTGCTTTCTGCCTCACTGCTGAGGCCAGTAAGAGCAGCAGGCTGGGTGTCTGTGCTGGTTCCAGCCCCACCTTTATGCTCACAAGCTAGGTGATCATCACATCACCCCGGGGGGAGATCTGCACGCAAGGGTTTTGGGTCCTTTCTGCAGATACTCTACTTCATTAAGTACAGAGTCAAGCCCAGGATTTCCCAACATGCTCATTCACAGCAGCTCTAACTCTACCTCCCTTATGTCCGTCCGTCTCTGCCTACTGTCTTGCTGGGGTGTCCATCCCCTGCTCAGGTCCAGGTCCCTTCCTCTGGTGAGCTGTTTCTACCCTCAGCTTCTCTTGCATGTACACTGAGCTCACTCCAGCTTGGCTCTGTTCCCCTCTTGGCCAGCTCTGGTCTCTTGCTTCCTGCTACCACTGGGTCTGTAGTTGGTCCCATCATGCCCGGCTACTCTCACCAAAGACATCTGGAACCAAAATCCAACAGATACAGTCAGCCCTTGACCTCTAAAGACCATGGACTTCCTCCCCTCTTCCCTCTCACTGCACTGTGCCTCTGCTCTGCGCTTCCACACACACCCTCTGCCCCAGGTAAGTTCTTGAGGCCCATGGTAGCGGTTGGTGTCTCCATTTATCTGGCAATGTACACCTGGCTACCCAAAATGAGTGCCCACCTTCCCCACTCCCCCCTCCTAACAGTCCCATGCCAGGTCCCTCATCCTTTGGTAGTAGTCCCCTGGAAGTCATTCTGGGTTCCTGTTGTGGACTCAAGACCCACCACCAAACCCATGGAGAGCCAATGAAATGCTGACCACCTACCACTTGGTGATCTCTTGAATCTGTCCCCTTCTCTTCATCCTCCTGCAAGCCAACATCTTTCCAGGCTCCAATTACTGTACTGGCCCCCTTACAGTCCCCTCCTCCTGGCTCTTGTCACTCCAGTGATGACCACCAGACTATTTGGAGGTCTTGTTCACTGTCCCTGGCTGTACCTAGTTTAGTGTCTGGCTATGGATACAAGGTGCTCAGGGCACCGTGTTTACCAGTGAGCGGGTTCTGCATACACACCAGGGTGGAGGACACAAGACTCCTTTGGTGTGTGGGACTGAGTTGTGTACAATGAGCTGCTGGGCAGGAGCTGCCTCTCCTTTGTCCACCTCAAATAAGGAACACAACAATGTGATAAACCACCACGGGCTGCTCCCAGCACCCACTCCCCTTCCAGCAGCTGGGCCAGGTTTTCCTTCAGGTAAGCCTGGGTGCATGGCCTGGCTCTAACTGGCTACAGCCATCCCCTTTTCCCTCATTTCTGGCCACTGCTTAGGGGTTGGTAGAACAACCTAGGCGGGGCCAGTGAGAAGTAAGCTGTTGGCCGACAAGCGAGTGTTCCTCCTTTCCGGAATCGGGTGCTGTTCAACCCGGAGAGAGGGACATCTGGATCCTAGACTGGGGGAGGGAGATGGGACACTGTGTAGCCCCTGGAGAGGAAGCGAGGTCGGGTCTTGGTTGGCCCTCTATGAACTGCGGGCAGGTTTCACCGGGGGTGAAAGCGGCGGCTCATCGGAGCGGAGCGCTGTCAGGAACCTCTCCAAGTTTCCGGACCTGCCCCGCCCAGGCTCCTACCCGGAATCTCCTCTGCAGCGTAGCCCACCTCCAGCCGCCCCTCGCCCAGGCTCTCCCCCCACCCGCACGTGGGTTCCTGCGCTAGTCCCGGTGAAAGCTGGGGCTCAGCGCACAGCGGCAGCTGACGAATCCGCGGCTCGGGCTCCGGTACGGATGCAAGGGCAGCACTGCCGTGGGCTCCGCGAGGAACCCCCGAGCCTTCCTGGTGAACTGCTCAGGGATCGCGAGGGCTTCCTCCGAAGACTCCCCTCCCCGCCCCTCCGTCCCGGGAGCCACCGCTGCCTTTCCCCAGGCTTTGCCAAAACCCCGAATCCAGCTCCTCCTCCTCCTCCCCTGCTGACTCGGTTCTCAAGGCAAGAACTTCAGGAGCCCCGTGTGAGCATCAGCCCGAAGCGCGGGCTCAGCGAGGCTCGGAGACGAGTGGCCACGCCCGCAGCCGCGGACGGACGCAGGCGATCGGCACGTCGTTGACGCGGGCTGGCGACGACTCACCGGCGCGCGCCCACTCTTTCGCGCTCGCAGGCACCCCCGGGAAGGCCTGCGACCTCCGCCAGCACCCGCGCGCGCCCTCGCGGATCCGGACCCCACCGTGCGCGGGCCCCCTCAGGGCAGGCCGGGGCTCCGGGGCGGGAGCTCCGCGAGCGTCCGGGTCTCCGCACTGAGAGTACTTCCGCACCGGGAAGACCGGAGTCTAAGGGCGCCCGGGGCGGGCATCCGCCGTAGTGCTTCCGGGTCGGGCTTTGGCCCTCTGGACATCCGGGCGCCGCGGGGCCCTCTGGGTAACGAGCCCGCCCCCGCCCGCTCTGAGCTACGGCGTCGACGCCAGCCGCGACGCTGACGGGTAGGTCGTCCAGCCAATCGCGGCAAGGCGGCGCCGGGCCGCCCGCAGAGCGAACCAATGACACGCGGGGGGGCGGGGCGGTCGCGGCCGTAGTGCGTCGCGAGGAGCCGCCCTGCCGGGAAGGAGCCCGAAGGGGAGTCGGCGGCACAAAATGGCGGCGGCGGCGGCGATGGTCGCTGCCGGGGCTCTGGGCCCGGCGGTCCCCGCCGCAGCGGCCTGCACTCCGGGCTCGGGGAGCGCAGCCCCCGGGTCGCAGGGGATGTTGATCGGGGACCGGCTGTACTCCGGCGTGCTCATCACCTTGGAGAACTGCCTCCTGCCTGACGACAAGCTCCGCTTCACGCCGTCCATGTCGAGTGGCCTCGACACCGACACGGAGACCGACCTCCGCGTGGTGGGCTGCGAGCTCATCCAGGCGGCCGGCATCCTGCTCCGCCTGCCGCAGGTGAGGGCGCGGCCGCGAGCCTCGGGTCGAGGTAACCGCCGCGCCGGCGCCGGGGGAGGCGACCGGGCCCTTTGTTGGCGGCGGGGTCCGGGCCAGCGCCGCCCCCGGCCCCGGGTTTCGCCGCTGCTGTCCTTGGGGGCGAGGCGGGGCGCGAAGACCTTTTGAGGGCCTGCCGACCGTCCTGGCGTCCGGCTCTGTGTCCGCCGCGCGAAGCGAGCGGCTTCCCCGCGAGGCTCTGGGTCGTGCTCTGGGGAATGACGGCGGCGCTGCTCTTCTGCAGGTGGCGATGGCCACCGGGCAGGTGCTGTTCCAGCGGTTTTTCTACACCAAGTCTTTCGTGAAGCACTCCATGGAGGTAAGGGCCTTCTCCGGCCTCCTGCGGGAGTGACGGAGGGGACCCCCGGCTGCCGGCCTGGCGGGTGGGGGGGTCCCCGCGCCGCGGACGCAGGGCGGTCTCAGCGCCGCGGCTCTCGCCGTCCGTCGCGCTCGGCCGGAGGGACACACGCGTGCGTTGCGGTGCTTGCGTTCCAGCATGTGTCCATGGCGTGCGTGCACCTGGCCTCCAAGATAGAGGAGGCCCCGCGGCGGATCCGGGACGTCATCAACGTGTTCCATCGCCTGCGGCATCTGAGGGAGAAGAAGTGAGTGTCCGTCGTGCTGAACGTCCGTCCCCCGCTGTCGTGGCCGCGCCGGCAGACGCTTCCAAGGGGAGCCCGGGCTGTGAGCCGTGCGGCCTCGTCCGGGCGGCGTCCGGCCGCTGCTGGGCGCGCGCGGGGGCCGCAGCGAAGACGGCGGGAACGGGGCCTGCGGTTTTGTCCCGTCGGGTCCCGCTTGCCCAGCCTGTCGCCGACCTGGGGCTGGGTTCGCACGTCCGCACCGTTTTGGGCTGGATGGTGCTTCGCCGCCGGGAGGTCTCGGGCGCGGTAGGACGTGGAGCCGCGCCCCGGCTTCCGGAAACTAGGCGCTAGCGGTCCACTTGGCAGTCGCGACAGCCGGCAGCGACTCCGCCCCCGCTGCCCATGGTTGACAGCCGCTGCCTGGACAGCCTGACCCTCACGTGGAGGGACGGCCTTCGGGGAGTAGAGCCTCGGGCTGCTGGAACGTTCTGCTCGCCGCGGGCCCTGGCTTCCACCCACTCGGAGCGCGTGCGCGTGGGTCGTGAGCTGGGGGTGGTGCCCTTGGTTCTCGTGCGGCGACGCGGACAGCCGAGACGCGGACAGCCGGCGCTGTGCCGGGTGCGCTCCGACCTGCGGCGAGGGAAGGAGCCTGTGGAGAAGGGCCAAGCCCGTCGGCGCAGGGGTTTGAGGAAGCCGCTCTGGTTTTGTTAAAGCTGCATGTGTATGGCGGTGCTTACAGTGGATTTCACCATGTGGAGGTCATTGGGGTTCGGAAGGCGTTTTTGGATTCAACTCTTACGGACGTGTGCTTTGTCTGTGCAGGAAACCTGTGCCTCTGCTGTTGGATCAAGATTATGTTAACTTAAAGAATCAGATCATAAAGGCAGAAAGACGAGTTCTCAAAGAGCTGGGTTTCTGTGTCCACGTGAAGCACCCTCACAAGGTGGGTATGTGCCCGGCCGCTCGGGAGCCACTGGCCGCCGGGCTCTCACCCAGATTGAAAGCGCTGAAGAGCAGTGACTGTGCTCCTGCCGTGGGTTCCCGGTGTATGTCCAAAGTCTAAAACCGGTTTCTTGTTTGTGGTGGTCTTTGAGCTCCCTGTGAACTTTAACTGTGTTTTCAATGGTTTGAAAATGGGGTCTTTTAAGTTTGCGCTTTCAGAAAGAATAGTGGTGAATT